CGAGTTGGTCATTAGCACATTCTACGGTAGCTACGATAGATTTTATGACGTAATTGACGACAGACTTTGTATTCAAAACTGACAGGTGACAATATAACAAAGCATGTTCGCGACATACTTTAGTTAGCTTGCGATCACTACCCTCGGAAAGGTTATAGTAGATAACCAATATTTTGAAGGCACAAACTGTATATAGTTATCTACTGCACTGCACGGGTATATCAGATTGTATGCGCAAGTCGCATGAAACTGAGTTATTCACTGAACATTAGGCCATGTCTAGATAAGCGTGATTTTTCATAAACTAAAATATATTCAGATATATTTGAGCAATAACTATTTTGGGCGTCGATACGAAAGAAGCTGTTTTTCAGTAATGCCGTTTGTAAGTACTTTGGTACAAACAGTAGCACATACCCAACTGGGGCATATAGCAAACGCAGACTCGCGTATTTGACAGGCCCTCCCCCTTTGCAATTCACATTAATTGATACTTTGAACTTTGCGAGTAATTGTTTAATGAAGTTATAAAATACTTGGATTTGTTCTTTTACAGCATTGAAATGTATACGACTTTATTTTTTAACCACTCATCACATTATCTCATTCTTTCATTATCTTACAAATTGCAATATGTCGTTAGACTGAGAAATTTACAGTAGATTTGAAGTGAAGTAACGCATTCAAGCAGCTAAATGATATAAAATTCAGATATCCCATAAAACTATTTTTAAAGTAGATCCGAAATTGTTATCTGCAGATTCATTATATGCATCTTTCAATAATTAATTTTTTCGGATTTGGGTCGGCTATCTAAATAATTTGTGCTGCTCTCCAGACTTCGGCAAAATTGCACCATCCGCACGAAAAATTTACGAGTTATCATGAATTCCCCAAAATTTGAATGCATATACATACAATTTATTGAATACCAATGACGTGCCTCGTAACTGCTGTAGTTATTTCTCATAAGCGGTTCTCAAAGGTGGCACCCACTAGTGCGCCGCGGCGATTTTCTAAGTGCGCCCGAAAATTAACAGAATTGCGTCAAACATAACTAATATATGATTGAATATTTTACAGATTCTTTAAGCCCATATGTTCTCAAACTCCAAAAGGCATAATAGAGCACACATTACCGATCACAAAATTGAGTTTTAATTGTAATGGTAACAATTTTATTTTATTTTTGTTGAGTATAAATTCGAATCACAAGTTTGGAAAACCAGAAACAATGCTTAAAAGTCGTCTTTAAGTCTGGCAAGACGTCTGAGCAATCTAAATTTACATAAATTTTGTGAGTGACTTGAAATTCTATAAATTAAAATTGCATAACTATGGTAGAATTAAAAGTTGAGTATGTTTCAGAAAAGCAAATGTGTAAAATTCTATGTCACTTGAAAATATAAACGAACGGAAAACCATAGTTTTATAATTCGGCGGTGTGGCGCATCGCAGTGTTGCCAACTTGGATTATTTTAATCTAGATTTAGATTATTTTCGTATGATTTAGATGTAAGAAATACCCATTTAGATGTTTGATCATTTTCTGGATTATTTTATAGCATTCATTTAGATTATTTTGACAAATGTTATTTTGCATTGTTCTTTAGTGACAAGGAAGTGAAGTGCATTTCACTAGTACCTAACAGTACATTTAAAGAGAAAAGATTTTTGGCTTTAATACAGGGAAGACTTCCAATCAAGGTTAATCTGTTAATAGTGTTCAAAACAATGAGAGAGGTTAGCCAAAATATTGTCAAGTATTGAATACTCTGAAAGTGGCGTGAACTGAATGCTGTTGTTATGCGAAAATCTGAAATCAGGAAATACTGTTGTTCACTAATTTTACCCCTATAAGTAGGGATGGACAATATAGAATAATTTACTATTCCAGTTATCTAGAATCTGAGATCAAATCCAGAATCTGAGAATACCGAATCCTATTCTATTTTTATTGTAATTCAAATTTGGGAATTCTCCCACCATATTGATGAATTATAATTAAAAAAAAAATTGGGATTTATTTGTTACCAAACAGTCTGAACAGTGGAATATAAGAAATTTAACGAATGCCTCTTGCCTTGAATTGTTCAAAATTTATTTGATCTCTAAATACTGTGTTGAAACATATCGCGTATTATACACTTTTTAGTACTAAAATCCAAGTTTTCAGTTATTATCGCTATATAATAATGTTGCTTAAATGGCCGAATAGAAGAACTGCCTCCCCCTCCACGTGTGACAACTTCTTTAAATTTATCGTCGACCAAACGTGTGTCGAGCTTGGACCATAGGAATGGATTTATTGCATTTTTGTTTTACGATATAATTTTGTATTTTCGGAAACGGTGTGTCCTAAAAAATAGAAATTCTTCTAAATTGATCGCAAATGATGTTTCAACATCTGACGTCTAGTACACATCATTTGCCGGGAGAACTCGGAAGGCCGCGAAATATTTAAGTTGAAAAAAAATGAATGTTTCAAGTATTCAATGTTCTATTTATTTACAGGATCTTCAATAAATATTGTTTCTTTTCGTTATTCAATATTAGTGTGTTTGATATTCGGAGATTGCAAAGAGAAAAAATTGTATCCATGAGTTCAAGCCCCCACTTACCAACAGCAGCAATAAGTTGGCAATAATTCAATTGAAAAATACATACACACAGGTCAGGAGGCAACAAGTTTTCAATTCTTCTCATGATAAATACTTCAGTTACACTACTTATGTTCCAAAAGATGTATTGATAAGTAATTATTATTTTCTATTGTACAATTTTTTTTTTAATGAAAATGTAACTTTCGTATATTTGGATTATTTTTTAGTTTATATTAGATTATTTCAGATGTTTTTTGTTGAGATTCTAGATTTTTTTTATCGCTGAACAGTTGGCAACTCTGGCGCATCGTGCTAGGCGTTAGGAATACGCACGCCATCGCATCTCTGATTACCCTTTGTGGTATCGCAGGTTCGAATCCCATGCGGGAATGATCATGTGCGAGAGGGTTGCTGGACTCCTCGCCGCCGTAGAGTGGTTCACGTAACCGCTGGTCGGTCACGGCTTCCTCCACCATCAAGTCCATGCTTCCGAAAACAAATAACTGGCTAATTAATCCCATACCCGATCTGGACTGGTAACCGGACGAGAGGTCGTGGTTCGCCATATGATTGAGCCATCGTATCGGCTTTCCTCTCCCCCGGGATAAATATTTAAATCCTATCCTAAATTCAATATGTATCAGAAAAAATGCTGATATCTCTTTTTACTAATCCGTGAAGTTCTGGGTACATACAAGAGAACATAACATTAAATGGTTACGACTCACAAATTAAAAAGTTTAGGAAAAGTCTATTGTAAATTCAATTCAATTCGTTTATTACTCCAGACTAAAAACGTTCCATATAAAAATAACACAAACAAGTAACATAAGCAAAAATAACACAATAAATACATAAAATACCTGATACGACAATCAGATTCACAGTAGATCTCAAAAAAGAGTTAATACAGTAATCTAAGAGGCCAAAAGTGAAGTATAGAATCCAAGATAGCTTGTCACAAACAGTATCTGGGAATCAAATAATGATTGTAATAGGATGTTATTGGAGTTCCTGCATCTCGTCATGAACAACCACAGATTTTTTCTATGGAGTGCTTCGAAAGAGGGAATGTTCCCAGATACCATTTTGTGACGGACACTCTCAGATCTAGAAACATAGTGAATTACGCGAGAAGCAACATTATAAGAAGTTTTAACTTTTTTATAATTATAATTATTGAAAAACAATCAGAACTGGCAGTTATAAATACTACAACAATACGTTCTAAATAAAAGATTTTTCACAGTATTGGAACAGTTGACAATTTTTGTCAAAATAGTATGGGCTATAAAATAAATTGATTTATACTGACGTTTCAAGCCAAGGTCATCTCTAAGATCATTGGATGGGAAAACACCAAGATATTCATTTGAAATATTTAATTGCTTGTAGAACAGTTGAGTGGTGGTACCGTAAATATATACTATTACGGTGGTACCGTACAAAAGTAATTCGCGAGAGCCAGTATTTATTTGAGTGTTGGTGCGGTTTACCGGTTTGTGAAAATTAAATCATTGCCTCTCCCACTGGGCGTAAGCACTGATAACATTAAGTTGGCTTCACTAAACTGATTTTCTTAAGTCCTAGTTAACCATGTGAAATATATGTGGGCGTTTGGCAGATTTGTTGGAGAAAAATGCTTTTACGGAGAACGTGTAGAAGTTATACGGTGGATGTTCATTGGGTGTATCAAACCGGTTATTTTCGTACGATAAATGCCTTCTAACGTCGTCGCCTCAGGGAAATTTCGTGGCCGATTCGATTTAAACGTGTCGTTGATTGTAGACGTGGATTCCTTCGACGTTACGGTAGAACATGAACTGAATTTGCTTCCACTTCGGAAATATATTCTTGTCCGCAGGTAGGAAGCTTGCCAACATTACTTTGATTGTTTGCTGAACAGTGCATACATACAGACATACCCAGTGTGATTTTATTGAGGCATCGATCAGTTGGTATAGCTTAGTTTAATGCTATAAATAGTTTGATGCTATGATTTAATAACCAAGTGATGTAATGCTAGTCGGTTTGTGATTAGTCTGTTAGTCTATACTGCTATACCAGTATATGTATATTCTATGATTGGAACATCAGCTTCCCAGGATATTCTCAACTTCTCGATTTTAGAAATAGTATGAATATTTATGCTAAATTTGAATATTTTTTGAATATGGTAGCCTAACTGCACAAAAAATTAATTAATGTTTTCCTCAACTTTCTTGCATCGCAATATTTAAATTTTTCCCTTTTACTGTCACAGTGTTAGGCATAGAATTTATAATAAATTCATTAAAATCTGTTTTGCTGAATAATTGAAGCTCAGCATACCGCAAAATGGAGTTATTTGGGGAATTAGTTTTCTAGAATAAATTTCTTATGTATTATTGTAGTATTGTGTGTATTGTTAACTTAAAATTGTATTATTTCATCAGCTCTCTTCATTGTATAATTAAATCTGTAAATTTTCAATAATTCAAAATGTCTGGAAAGAAAGTAATTTTGGTCACTGGGGGTTCAGGCCTTGTAGGTAATGGTGTCAGGACTGCAGCTGAGAGAAACCCACAACCAAATGAAGAATTTGTTTTTCTGACATCTAAAGATGGAGATTTGACCGATCGGGAATCAACCAAGGCGATTTTTGAAAAGTACAAGCCAACTCATGTTATTCATCTTGCTGCCAAAGTTGGCGGACTATACGGCAACATGAGAGCTAATTTGCAATTCTTCAGAATCAATATGAAGATCAACGATAATGTACTATCTTTGGCTCATGAATTTGGATGCAAAAAAGTAGTTTCCTGTCTCTCAACTTGTATTTTTCCTGACAAAACTACATACCCAATCGATGAAACCATGGTTCATAATGGACCTCCTCATAACTCCAATTTTGGTTATTCATATGCCAAACGCATGATTGATGTAATGAACAAGGGATTCAACGAGCAATACGGAACTTGCTTTACCTCCGTTGTTCCGACAAACGTATATGGGCCATTCGACAATTTCAATCTTGAAGAGGGTCATGTTATGCCTGGTCTTATTCATAAAATCTACAAATGCAAAAGAGATAAAACCCCTCTGACAATTTGGGGAACTGGAAGCGCTCTTCGTCAGTTCATATACTCTGTTGATCTAGGAAGTCTATTCTTATGGGTTCTCCGCAATTACAATGAAACTGAACCAATCATTCTTTCAGTGTCTGAAGAAGATGAGATATCGATCAAAAGGGCGGCTGAACTTGTTGCAAAAGGCTACGATTTTGAAGGAGAGTTTGTGTACGATACTACTCGTTCAGATGGGCAACATAAGAAAACAGCAAGCAACAAAAAACTTCTGAAACTGTATCCTGAATTCAAGTTCACTCCAATTGATGAGGCGATTCGTGAAACTTGCCAATGGTTCGAGGCAAACTATGAAACAGCAAGAAAATAGGATCAGGATGCAGTACTATTTCATTCCAATGTGCCTTTATGCATGAATATAATTTAGTCTATTAGTCTTAGATATTAGAAGTAGATCGTTGTTTAAGTTTTGCAATTTTCTATACTAATATATTCTAATTATGCTTGCATTATAAAACTGTCATCTACTGGTGTTATAACAACCGTTAGTTATATTTGCATGTTATGTGGTGCCATTATTGAAGCTGTATATTTATTTGTTAACTTATTATTATTGTCACTGAAGACCTTTTAATAAATAGTTGCTAAATTGTTTGTTTTCCATTACCTACTATTGATGTTTTTTTCAGAATGATTTGTAAATTGTTAAGGCTGTGACATGGTCATACATTGAAAACCTACTTGAATTTGTCAAGGCAGTTATATTCGGATCTGCTGATGTCAATTTTAGCAATCTCAGTGGTTCTCGAACTCATTTCCATCAATTATTTTTTGCGCCATGTTTAAAAATAATAAAGCCATGAAAGCAAGAAAATAAATGCATTTTGCCAAAGAATTAAACAAATCTGAGTCCAGGCTTTGTAATTTGATATAATCACAGCGAAGGTGCTTGCTTTTGAACACCAGAGAATCTTATCGTACCCCCCCTCCTGAGAAACTCTGAGCTGGTTATTTATGCAATTCATATTCGGTATGAATATGAATCCACACACATAATGCTTATCTTATTTGATATCGTCAATGCAAAACACAATATACGGTAATTGAACGTCTGCTTAGTGTAAGGCAGTACCATTATTTTAGTGGTAATATTACTGTTATACAGATCCATTTGATAATCTTAAAATATATGTAAGTATTGTATCAATAAGTTTATCCATGAGTGATTTCAGTGGTAGCAGTATATTCTTTGGTAGTTGCCAAATTGCAATTTTTTTCCTTGCAAGTTCAAAGTTGACGAAATCGTACTAGAATTATTAGTTTTAGCTTCTGATATACACAATACTGCAATCAATACACATAATTTGTATCATGTTTGTCTTAGGTTATGACCAAATAGCCCTATTTCCTAGTTATACAATATCTAATAAAATAATGGCTGATCCACCAATAAAACCTTGGGAGATAAACCGGACTCAAAGTGCTGGTAATATTGGACCATTGCATTCTATCTCAAGTCCACCTGTTGTAGATGCTTCATTGACAGCAACAGATCAGGCGAGAAAAAGGACGCCGCCTCCTGTTCCCAATAGACCATCCCAGCGTACTATGACTCCAATGGGTTATCAGCCTTCATATGGAGGATATGGTTCCTATGGCTATGGTACTGGATATGGAGGGATGTATGGTGGTGGAATGGGGAGTGGAATGTATGGGGGTTATGGTGGTGGGGGTATGTACGGTTCCTACAATAGATCATATGGTGCACCGGGAGGATTTGCTAGACAAGCAGAAGAAAGCACTAGAAATGCATTTCAATCTGTTGAAAGCATTGTGAGAGCATTCACATCAGTTTCTGCTATGTTAGAATCTACACTTGGGGCTGTTTACAGCTCATTCCGAGCTGTGCTTGATGTAGCAGATCAATTTTCGAGGGTGAGGGCAACATTTGCTGATATTCTTTCTTCAATCGCAGTCTTCCGATTGATAAGATTTTTATATCGCCGAGCTTTGGCATTTTTAAACTTGGGAGGATCATGTGAAGAGGCATGGGATACTGTCAAAACAGACTCTGACGTTATACCACAGAAGAAGAAATCAAGATCGTGGCCCATACTTCTTTTCATGTCTGTTGTTATAGGAGGCCCTTACTTGATTTGGAAATTATTGAGTGGAACAGGCAATGTACAAAAGCCTCAGACACCATGGGCAAGCGGATTATCAGATCATGTTGTTGCTAGAGTAGAATATGATTTTGAAGCTGATAATGATGATGAACTAACTGTGAAAGTTGGCGACCTGTTAAACCTTGCACCAAAAGACCAACAACCGCATATACAGAACTGGCTTATGGCATCTTTAGATGGTACAAATGTAGGGATGGTACCAGCAACTTATGTTAAGGTATTAGGCCGTCGAAAAGGAAGACAACCAGAATCAGCTGAGAATGGCCAACCTGAAGCTTCGGCACCACCTACATGACAAACTAGCTCGTAATCTCTCAATCTTTGTAATATGCAAATCACCCGTTTCAATAAAAATGCAATTTAATGTCAATTTTTTTTTCATTGTATAATTTCATGTTAAAGTGTCTTCATTACGAAGATATTCTCCAATATCTGCTTGATGAAAAGCAATGATTGACATAGGATCCGCATGCCTGCATTCGGCTGTCGATTTTGCTGCTACACCAAATCCCTATAAAAGAAAGGCGATTATGTGAAAAATCTTTAAACAATTAGTTCATGTGATATCCCAACAAAAATTGTCAATTTAGATGTTTTTTGAATAGCCTGCAATAAAAAATACAAAATGGATACAAATTCAGGAAAGCAAGAGACAAGTCTTTTTTTATTACACGATATACCTTTACTACTTACCAAAGGTATATCATTCATTGAATATAACACTATGCCTTGATATTTAGGAGTTCCTTCAGTAATTCTTCCTAATCCTGATTTTAATATGTGATTTCCATATAAAAATGATTGTTCTGCACCTGGTTTCACCCAAACTTTGAACTGAAAAAGTAATTGACATTATTTGATATTCTCAAACAATTGATGGTTATTATTGCATTTGCACTTGTGTCAATTCTAATTATGCGGCATGTATGTATTGGAATATGGACTATTAATCAACTACAATATTATTTTACATTTCTTTTTATGTTCAACTTCAATTATTTTGCAATGTATGACTGTTGTGTAAATATTCTTCAAATAATAAGAACAGGCTTCATTATTCACAATACAGATGAAGTAATAAGCATTGTAGGAAATCAAGAGATGTATTGTGGCGTGGGTACTACACTCCTTAGAACAATGGGCCACAAAAATGTCTGTTCTGCTTTTATCTCATAATCTTACCTTTGCATAAGGTGCTAAATAATCAAGTGCAGTGACATGGAGCCTAAATTTCTTTGTTTTTGTAAATTTTCCAAAGCACACGCCAAAGCTGATTAAATTTTCTCTGCAAACGTTGGTCGCTCTTTTCATAATTTCTTCAGAAACATAATATACTCGATCTCTGTGTAGTCTGAAGCAGTATACTCCATCTGGACGATCAATCAATAATTTGATGTTCTCCCCAATACTGAAACAATTAATAATTCAAATGTCACATTTTTCATAACAGAATTGGGGTCTAACAATGTATTTGCCGCAAGGTCTTAAATGTCGCCCAAAGAAAATGTGATGTGAAAAGAAATGCTGGAGCTGCTTAAATATTGCCAAGTAATAAAAGTCTGTCTTCCACAGAACGCTATACCCTATTTGGCATGAGATAAACCTGCTTAGTTGAAAATTGAGGGGGGATTTTGTTTAACTAAATGCATCTGTCAAGAATTTCATTCCACCCCAAACAGACACTTTTTTCTTAAACAAACACACACATCACTTTTTTATTTGGCGTTATTTTGAAGAGTTACGGCATTTACTTTGCTAGACCCCGGAATTGAGATCTTCAATAGCCAGCTAAAATGCAATGTCTTTTATTGAGTGAAAATTCAAGCCACTCTCCGATTATGTCCTTGATTGTAAGGTTATGAGTTGCGAATGCCATTGGTCGTCAAAATTATCTCATCAGAGTATTACCCGCAAGTTATTTGGAAAGTGTTATTCAAGTTATTCAAAAAAAACTGGAGTAGAAGCAGTAGAAATGAAGCATCATAATAGCCTCAAGAGCAACAAATTTTAATAAAATTCTGTTGGCCATGATAACAAAAATAGTGTCACAAACATCGAGTAAATGTATAATGGTATTTAAGAGTTACAGCAGGAACTGAGAGTGGGTGTATATTTGGATACATATTTGGATACACCAAAACTATCATTTGTATAAATCCGATTTGACAATGGATTTAAATTTGGCAAAAAAAAAAAAAAAAGTGAGTGTTTGCAATCTTTCTTCTGTATTCATGTAACTTTCGAAATAATGTTGTTTTGTATAAACTTGCCCAAATGGTCTAGAAAAGTCGTTCTCAACCTTTTTGTCTTTGCGGACCCTTCTGGTGCTCTCAGAGCGGTCACAGACCCCTCAAAAATTCTTTTTTAATTGAAATTTAGTTTATAGCTTAAACAGCAACCTAATGTTCCATACAGATTTAACCAAGTCAAAAAAAACGCCTAACTAGTGGACATTTTCATTTATTTTTTCAAATCGAATACACTTAATGGGATTTCTGCTGTTGCATATCAGAAGCAAGTCTTGAAATACGTGGTCGTGTTTTTGATAACAATACACGCATATCGTCTTCGACGTTCAGTTGGTTACGAGCCTTGGATCTGATATAAACGAGAGCAGAAAATACATCTTCACAAAGGTAAGTGGAGGCGAATGGAACAATACCGCGAAATGCTTCCATCGATACTTTTGGGTACGACGGCAAAATGGCGCACCAAAACTGGGAAAGTGATCACTGTAGCTGCGTTCTCATATTTATCATTGTGATGTCATAACTCATATTTGTCACAATAGGTCTACGCGAGATGAATCAAAATAGTTTTTGTAGGCTATTGTCACATTGTCATAGGCAGCAATTTTTCGAGCGTATTACCCCCTGGAAATGCTTTGCGGACCACTGGGGCCAAAAACATTCCCAAAATTTTTATTTTTTAAAATATAAGTATGTTTCGCAGGAAACACTAGCCTATACCATATTCGACATGGAAAATACTTGTTTCGTTGAAAATTGAGTGGGTTTTATTTTAACTGAATGTGTTCGTCAAGAATTTCATTCTGTGCTAGACAGAATTTTAATTGAAAAACAAAAAAAATTTCCCATCGCATTTTTGTTTGGCATTATTGGAACTGGTACCGTATGGCATTTCCTCTGCTAGACCCATGAACCCGACCTTAAAATTCACTATTTCTGTATTCTACTGACTCAATACAGTAGTAATACACTACACAGACATAATGATACCCAATGTTCCAATCGATTCCATTGCTTTGCTTTTTATTGCTAAACCTTTCAAACCTGGAAATGACACCGTACGGTACGGTACCGGTAAATATGTTCTATATAAATATTATATGTTCACTTACTATTTTGCAAGTTTTTCGAACAACGTTTTTGTCTCATCTTCTGTTAAAGGACGCATAGTCAGTTTATTACTTGTCAGAGACGAAGCTGTGTACGGAAATCAGAAAATATCACTGCCGCTACTCGCGAAACGTGTTTGTAGTAAATAGCTGGCTACATTAAAATCTACTAAAATACTAATTCACTTATCACGTGGTCCGCTTTTTATAATATTTTGGTAAAGAGCTGATTTATGCGAGTTGCGTATTGTCGGGATGCCTTCGGTCCGTCATTTATTATCTCAGACAGTCAGCTGTAGTTTTTGTCGTGAAACGAAGTCGGCTATTTGTCTGCTTGTGGAGAATTGTTTTCTGGAGCCATATAGAATTGTTCAATTTGGTTTAGTTCAGTTTAATGATAAATAATCTTGAATATGACGGCGATAAAACACGCCTTGCAAAGGGATTTATTCACCCCAAATGATGAAAGATTGTTGGGCGTTGTTCACGTTGCTAAAACGGGAAAGAAAAAGAAGTCATCTTTTTTATGTGCTTCAGGTTAGTAATCTATGCTATATGTATAAGGTATAGTATCCAAATGTTATAAGGTGTTTTTTGCTATAGAGTTTTGTCCTTGATATCTTCCGATTTTATTTACAAATACTGGAATTGCTAAATTACTGAAATTATGAATACCCGCTGCACTCTAATTCACAAGTTTATTTTGATTCTTAAAAGTCTGAAAAAGCTAACGAAGACTATTTTTCCAGCTTTTTGATTGTACATTTTAGTTAAACCACTGGCACGGCTTCCTCCACCATCAAGTCCATGCTTCCGAAAACAAATAACCAACTAATCCCATACCTGACATGAAATGGCAACCGGACGAGGGGCCGTGGTTCGCCATATGGTTAAGCCTTCTTATCGGCTTTCCTCCCCTGGGATAAATATGTAAATCCTATCTTATTTTTCTGTCAATCCAACTAAAGTGAATCATGCAATATTGAGCAATGTAATCATTGTAAACAGGGTATTGCTGATTCGAACTAGTCAAATTGTTATTTTGCAACAAAACATTACAGCATTAATTGAGAGTGAAACAAACATGACAAGTTTGATCGGGCTTTAAGCTTGGGGACCATTGTGATATTACATGCATATAATTTATGTAAAAAGTTGATATAAGTCAAGCCAATGTTTTTTACTCATGTTCAGAGTAGAATATCGACAGAATGGGTAGTATTAAGAACACACTTGACAATGCCACGACAGTCAAACTGCTGGTTCAGAGGTTGGAATACTGTGTGGCACAATCATATGTAATTGAGTATGATTCCTTTCACTATTCAAGCCTATGTGTCTGAACCTTTTGATTTGTGATTTGACTTGTCAGTTGGTGCATCGTGCTAGGATCATGATTGTGATGCCACTGCTCATCACTCATTGCCTTCTGGGGGATAATTATGCAAGAGCAGATTTCTGACTTTCACTGACTGGTCTGTTGTTACTTTCTCCGCCATCCAAAAATAATTCCAGGTAGAGCAGGATTGGCCATATTGCTCATTGTTCTGTAAGAAAACGATTGCTTACAAGTTATGCATGTGCCTTTAGAAGCAGTATATATAAAATTCTTATGGCCTGACGGTGTGGCACTTCATGCTGAGCCGAGGCATTGATAAAACGCTTGCTACTGCACATCCGATTACCCTGCTTGGATTCGCAGTTTCGAATCCCATGTGGGATAATTATGTGCGAGGGGATTGCTGGACTCTGCGCCACCTGGTTCACAGCTTCCTCAACCATGCATATAACTGTCCAACTAATCCCACACTCGAGGCCCTGATTCGGCATAGGATTAAGCTGTCCTATTGGCTTTCCCCTCCCCCAGGATAAATATGTAAATCTTATATATTGCTTGTAAATGAGGATCAAATAAATGAACCCTCTATGAGAGGTGATTGAAGAAATAACTAATTTTATAATATTTTACAATATTCAGGAAAATTTTAGTATTTCAGAATACTTAGCCAGAATTGTACTCAGATATGGGATTTCTAATAATTGTGTGTCCTGTTTCCACAAATTATTTATCAGTTTGAAATGAAATGTGTGACGCCTAACCTGTTTTTGTGGCTTTCAACACTATTAATGCTTAAAACAAATTGTTCATATACTTAGTATTGTCTGCACACAGATTTATGTCCTAACACTGGCTGCTGTACGACGTTTGTTTTTTAGTAAGTAGAGATGTTTACTTTCTGATTGTGCCTAACAGGTAGTTGTTATTATAAGTTTAATTTGTAAAAGTTGGCGACAATGGTCAGCCATTATAAAGTGATTGGACGATAAATATTTTCTTTGTTAAGCATTATTCGAACACTGCCCCATTGTGACAGACAGGAATAACGAGTGTGTCGCAATTTATAGTTTGATGTGGTGATTATTTGTACACGGCCCGCACGCTTCTGGGGATATGTATATTTGGCCCACTAGTACATCAAGTTTACCTACCACTGGTCTAACTTCTTCAGGCTAAATGAGATGTAACCTGAACCTAATAGCGGAATGACCAAACCAAATGAACTATGATAAGGCTCTCTATAGCTTTTTCTGTGATATTCAGCATAACATGACTCTTTTACCGAAAATGGTTGGGAACCACTGGTCCATCACTACCAAATGCCTTCAAGTGTTGATATTTTAATACCTGGATAATTTCAATAAAAAATAATTAAAAGCATGATTACACAACACACTTGCACGAATTTGAAACAAAATGTAAAATGAAAATTAAATAATTGATAAAAAGATAGGGGCAAGACCTAAAATCGACTTACGGTAGGCAAGTATGTATAAAAAGGTCACACAAATTCAGGGAAACTTCTGTTGACTCAATAAAAAATTGAAGCTAAAATGAACACTCTTAGATCTGCTGTACAACAGAATTTATGATTGGGTATAAAACAGGTTGATACTAATCATAACTCGTGTGCTTTAAGGTAAATCCTTGCCAGTTGCAGATAACTTCATTGTATAAGACTAAGAGGTTCGCTGGATTGCCTGGCATTGAAACATGGCAATTTCCTCACTCTTCATGCTTGTTACTCATCTTCAGTACATTGTCGTTTTGATGGAAGGCCTATAGATAATAATATAAGACTTTATGGATGAGATAGCATACCATTCTGAATAATCTCTTAGTGATGTAGACTGAATAATACCAGACTAGCAATGCTGGGTATGTTATGCAGGATGTCTCACATCTACGACCTATGGTAATCAATACTATGTGTGAACTCATCTTTTTGTGCACATAAACAACCTAAGTCTAGCAAAACATTTGATATATCCATCCATACCTACTCTATACATTGATTTTAATAGATTTGATTATTTCATGTCAAAGTTTTCAAGGCAGGCAGATGGGAAATAATCTCTTACACACTCATATATTATTATCCAAGTACATTGCGGTGCGTAATTCGGGGGAACAAATTTCAACGATAGTTCAACCAGAGGCTTCGAAAGAAATTGAACAACCATGCACTGGTTGTAACAAACTTATAAAAAAAAAAAGAATATGTACCTTCTTCAATTTTAACTATATGGGCATCATGTGGAGGATAAATCTGTGTCTGACTTCTTTTTTTATAATCCATGTTATTGAATTTCTTTCTTATCGCCCGATGTAGTGTAGGGGAGTATCTTAATCCATTTTGACAAAGAACCGGGTACTCAAGGCATAGGTTAGTAACTGTACACTTTACTTCGTATTGGTCAGGATTTCGTCCGAGAACATTTTTGAGAATAGTTGATATATCTCTCACTAATTCTTGGAATGCTTTTCTGTTCGTATTATTCAAGATGTCATATCCCTTTGACATATATTCCCGTAGCGATACGTTTAAAGGAAAAGGCCAAGTTATACCATTAGGGTAAGGCAAAGGAGATGCATTTTTAGAAGCAAGATAGCTTTTCTTCTGGTTTTGGAAGGTCATTGTACTAGAGGTTTCAGGACAATCCGATACCTCATCATCAGGATTGGAATTATCATGCAGGTCAATGGGACTTTGTGATGTCACATGGAGAGAATTCCAGTCTTTTAAAGCTGAGTAAAGCATTGTCCAACCATCCTCTCCTTCACTGCGAAGGCCTGGGTATTCAACACATAACATGGCTGCTGTATATCGTAAATCACCTTCTGATATATTTGGTCCAAGACTGTTTTTCAAAGTGTTATGAACTTCAGCCACAAGACTGTTAAACACAGAATCATTTCGCTTAATACTGTTATTGCCTACTAAAGACTCTTTGAGAATTTGGCTTAATGGGAAAGGTGATGTTATATTTCCAGGATAGGGAATGAAAAATGCATTAGGACTTTTAGGGGACTTGGGTACGATCTTATTATGTATTGGTGAGGAAGGCCCAAATATAGATGAATTCGAGGATTCGGCTTCATCATCGGATGATATTGGAACAAGACCCTGTGCATTTTTACGAAAGTAATTTGAAAACATATTCGGAGATGAAACTGAAGTAACTTTCTTAATGATGCACGGATCTCTTTCTTCTTGTATATTTTCATTAAGGATAGTCTTCGTTGTTCTTGCATCCTACAAACAAAAAATTTTTTTTTTGAGTGAGTGTGTTGTCACCTTTCATGATGCATATCTATATTAAAAAATATCATAATATAAAATTTATTTATGTTTCACAGCAGAATTCAATTTCCTCAATAAACTAAAATTGTTAAATCCAAGTAGAACAAGAAGATTAAGATAAATAAGCATTCTAGAAGCCCTGATGCCATACCTGTAATTTTGGAGGACTTCTCTTGAACGCTTTAAAAAATAACCACAATTCTTTTCTGATTCCAAAGCGAAATCCTCTGAATTCCTCATTCACATCTTCTCTAGTTAGTTGATCGATGTCATCCATTTGGAATTCAGCATCTTAGAAAAAAAGGTAGTTTGAAGTAGGAACTTAGGGAAATACCGTATTTTCAGGCTTATTGGGTGAAAATTACGGTAATTCTCGTATGGCAAAAAATCAATATTTTGATATTGAAAGTACCTGTATATCATTATTGCGTTTATAAAAAAATTTCTCTGTTTTATAATATCAATCCAACCACCAAAGTAGGTAGCACATAATAACCATCATTTGGAAAATGTGAACCTACCTTCTATTGCCTTCACAATATCAGAGGTAAATTGTGTTGATGCTTTAGCTATCATCTCTGACAGATTTGCAGACATTTTGTGTCATTTTATGAAATTGTTGATTTAAAAAATATCTTATTATTGTTAATTTTAAAATACTCAATTTAACCCCAACTGTATTTAATGACATAGACTACTCAGAAAATGGTGATGGGCTTTTAATACAGTAATATCCACATAGTTTTTTAATAGAACTAGTAAGCTCTCAAATATCTTCCCAAAAACCATCCTAAGCTGAGAAGTAACAAGTGAATAATGAGATTTTCATATTTATTCCTGTGAGAGGAAAGCTGATTAATCATAGGCGGATATTATGAACCGGCCTTTCGCCGGATTACCAGTTCCATTTGGGGTATGGACTCTTTCAGTCCCATACCGATCAGCCGATGCTGCATGACACATACATATATCAGTAACTTCCTAAGTTATTAGCAAAGACAGAAATTCGGTCTTTTAGAAGTGCTTCAACGTACTTAACAGTATATTTGACAACCATCGCATCACTGGTACCCTTAATACTCCACCGTAGAGTCATTTATTCGACATTTAGGACGCAATATTCCGCTTCCATTTAGTAAACACAACCCCCATACTGATAAAACATAGGACGTCTGTGTTTACAATGGGTCGAACTGATTGGTCACGTGCTTGTTCCGCCCGAGGTGCTTCTGTTTCACGACGCTCCGCTAACGCGATATTTCGCAGAATTACGCTACAATTTGCAACTTGCTTTTTTTTTATATTGCAATATTCAAATGCAATTTTACAACCTAGTTTTGATTAAACTACAGTACCGGTTAGTATATTACGTTTTAAGCTGAGAGATATGTTGAAAATGACCCCCGATTGGATAAAATATTTCGTACAATGGCGACTAAATAGTTTAAAACTATGTGCTTGATTGTCATTCGAGGCATTGGCTTTCACAGCATGATATACTGAGGTGACAAATTATGCTATTCTTTTAATTAAAATAGGTAAAGATCAAACGAAATACGGCGCCTTTTCCCGCGATTAGCAGGCAATCAAGGCTCGCAGTTTATCTGCCGAACAGCATTGTGGGAACCTTTTTTCTCTCTGTCTAGCGTGCGTCGCGCTAGCGCTATCGCCATTTTCAGCGTGTATTTTTGTGTGGCTTAGTTGCGCGCGCGTTTTGTAGTTTTACTTTTGTCAGTGTCATTTTGTTCATGTCTTGAATTTATTGTATATTAAGGTCGATTTATTTAGCGATATGACTGACGGTGTTGATATAGATCTTTATGCAGACGTTGACCACGAATTTGCTCAGGACGACGGACTGTATACCCAGGGCAACGTGGATTTGTATGATGATATGTTGCAACCGTCGAGCAGAGCGACCATCCATTCTAACGGCATGCACAGCGTTCAACATGGAAGCGATAAGACCCAGGGGGATATGAAGTTTAATTACCAGGGCAAAAAGGTGTCCATTTATGTTGGAAATTTAACTTGGTGGACTACTGACAAAGATCTGCAAGATGAAATCAGTGCTTTGGGTGTCAATGATTTAATTGAAATAAAATTTCATGAAAACAGGGCAAATGGCCAGTCAAAGGGTTTTGCAATTGTGCATCTTGCTTCTGAGTCTTCATCTAGAATAATTATGGATAAGTTGCCAGGGAAAGAGTTACATGGCCAAACTCCTGTTGTTACACCATGTAATCGCCAAAGTTTAAATCAATTTGAACAACAGTCCAAAGCACAATCTGGAAATAGTGGTGGTCCGCCACCACAAAAGCCGGCATCACCACCGCCACTCCAACTGCCACCAAGGCCTTCTCTTTCTGTGAGCTCTTTCAATGTTGTTCATCAAGCACCACCAGCTCTGGCTGTTGCAAGTTTAGGACCTCCTGCCTCAACAGCACCGACATCAGCTCTTTTTATGCCTCCGCGCAATCGTCTGGTCCTTCCATTCCCTCCTCCAGCAGCTGCAGGTAACAGACCACCTGCTATTTTTATTCCACCAACTAGCGTAGCCATTGCTCCACCTTCTTCGATTCCCCCTCCTGGAATGACACTGCCACCTACTCTAATGCCACCCAGAGTGGCACTGCCACCAGGTATGCCAGGACCGCCGCCTCCAGGCTTACCGACACTTATTCGTGGCCCTGGTGGTATCCTAATTGATCCAAGAATTCCACCTCCACGACCAATGATGCCACCAATATCTCCAAATCAGCCACCACCTGCCGTAAGGCCACCACATATTGGTGCACCCCCATTAGGGCCTCCCCCAGGGTTCCCACCCCCACCGGTACAAATTAACCCCTTGATTCCACCTCCTGCTGCAGAATTGCCACCAGCTCAAGAGACATACAGACAGGAGCGCTCACAATCGCCGCCATTATCAGATACTGAAGTGGAAGAAATAATGAATAGGAATAGAGCAGTTTCAAGTAGCGCAATTTCACGAGCTGTTTCCGATGCAAGCGCTGGTGATTATGGAAGTGCAATTGAAACTTTAGTCACTGCCATATCTTTGATAAAACAATCTAAAGTTGCTACAGATGAAAGAGCGAAAGTATTGATTGGATCATTACAAGATTGCCTACATGGCGTGGAAGAGAAATCATTTGGATCTGGATCGATAAGAAAAAGAGATCGATCGAGGGATAGAGATCGAGAAGAAAGACCAAGACATCGGGAGTCGAAGTCGAGGAGACGAGACAGAGACAGAGATCGTGACAGAGACAGATCCCGAAGCAGAGAGAGATATGACGATCGAGAATACAGAGAAAGAAGTAGAGAACGAGACAGCGGAGGGTATTCATCATCACGTCACTCGGATCGTCACCGGCGTTGAAATGAATTACATTACAAAAACTGGATGCTTTATTGCATTGTACAGAAAACAATAGTTGTTGCTTTTAGCACCAAATCTGAAATGGTCGGTTTCGAGAATGTAAAGTGGATGCTGATGAACTATGTCTACAAGTCATTGATACAATTCCACATTTTTCAATGATTAATTGTGTATAAATTGATACTTCATTGCTGTTGGAATGTATCTTAATAAAATTCAAAATGGTTTTATGATTGGTTTCTATTTATCCTATTATACAATTGCAAGGGGGTTATTCATTTTACTGCCTCATTTTATCTAGCATATTTTCATGTCATTATGTCGGTACGTCTTTGAAATAGGGTCTTTCTCAGTGCGATATGTCAACAGTTGTGGGTTGTTAGAAGGGTTAGTTTAAGTTGGGGCTAATCATGAAATGTGTATATAAGGATTCAGAGTCTTATCAATTTTAATAGTATATATAATTTCGGGAATTCATCATGCAATGGTTAAAAGTGAAAGTGCTTTGTTCAAAAATGGTGTAAAATTGTCGATTATGTCATTTATTTATTTTCGCATGGCATATATGTGGCGTGATTCCATGATGGTATCAATCATTGAAGAATGCTGCCAAAAATTGTAACACTGTGGATTTTTAAGGTTGGTAATTTTTTATGCAATCATTTAAGTGCAACTTTTGCCTCTGTTTTTATTTATGCAATATTTTTGTGTCTATTCTGTACTGTTCTGGGTATGTCATTTTCGACCAGTGTCCACTCTTTGACACTTGGCTCGGAATGTGGAACCCAAATATATTTTTTTCCTTTCTAAATAATTGCCATTATCGGAATTTTTATTAATTTAATATGCTGTGGTGCAAAATTTCTCAACCTTTTTTTTTTTCAATTTCTGAACGCTGCTTGACCTCTTCTTCATACAGTTAACAGGATAATACAGTTTGAATGAATTAAAATGTTTTAAAGGTGTCAATAATGCACATTTTTTTAGTGGGAAAATTCTTGCACAATAATCAATATTAGGAATTCTGATGATGTCATTTATTGGTTAAATTACCGTTTTAAGATACTATCCTTTATAAATAACATTTCTAAAGTCATTTCCAAAATCCTCAACACCATTATTTGGGTTGGTGGTCAAGAAAGACTTTCAAAAGTGTAATGGTGCTTGTATCATTTACTCCTGAAATCGACCCTTAATTACTTTTGAATATTGTAAAATAGCAGCTGTAATTTCAAAATTCAAATTAGTTCACTTTATTTCGTTCAGGTAGGCTAATTCATTGGTTGAGAAGGTGATGGTGTAGTGTTGAGTGTAAATAAAAAAATTGTATTTTTTCTCTGTATGAATTATTTATATATTCAAAATATCTGATTACCAGTAAGAGAACTTGTCTATTATATATGAATGTTGGCAGATTAATTGGCTGCCTTTTCTTTAATAATAATTTCAATTTCAGAATTCTCTTACTTTTCAAATGCGGTTTTCTGTATTTGTATAGGCAAGAGTATAGTAGTGCTCTTATGGTAGTAACATTCATTTAGATCATGTATTTTTGATTCACCACTAAAAAGGATTTTGTTTGGTGCTAGCTTACTTATTTTTGTGCACCATGAGTTGCGTCCTTGGTTTTGAGACACTGTTGACCCTGTTGACCTAGATTTGAACCCCAGATCTCTAGACATCACATACTGGGTATATATATGGTTTGTGGCAATTTTGATTGCTCACATTTGAGACGTTGTTTCATGAACTAATAATACTCAAATCTGGTGATACTGAATTCCTAACATATATCATATTTTCCTGCTAATAAGCTGATTTTTTGGACCCAATTTTTTTGTCTGATTTTCTTGGATTGACTTGTTGCACTGATGGCCTTGACTGTTTTTTTTTCTCGAACCGGCTTATTATAAGCTTTGGGCCAGAAAATACTGGAAACTCACAAACAGTGGATAAAAGTACCAGTGAGGCGGTAACACATTTATAAGCCTCTGCTTATTGGGTGGTAATACTAATATGTTATAAATTGGCTTCTGCGCATACGCCGTGTCATCTTATTTGGTGGAAAATATGTATTTGTATAATGTCTAGTTGCGAGTTATTATTGCAGAGTGGCTGACGTGATAGCTTTTATACTTTTAATTGCCATCACATTTATATCACTGCCAGCATGAAACTTCTTTTAGAAAGTAGGCCTATTTAACAATTTGTAGGCACTTTTTTTTGTATGGTAATTATTCAGAGTAGAAGCTTGATCATGATATTTTCCATATTTTACTTGGATCAAATCTTGAGAATTATAGATTTTTTGCAGTCAAAATCAAAGTATTTCGGTCTTTGGTTTTGTGTGTCTATTAGTGTGAATCATTAATTATTTTTTGAAAATGATTTATAAAGTTAGCCCATGACAAAAATTTAATCCAAACGAAATCCAATCGAAATTGGAAGTCTTTTAAATTTTATTATTTACGTAATGTGATATATACTTGTTTCTGGGTGGGTTTTTCGGACACCATTTTATGTCAGCAAATATTCGTGCAGTTTGTATCAAAATTCTGAAGCAGATATATTGCAATATAGCACTAACATATAATACAGTTTTCACTAGTTTCTATGTATCTGTAAAATAGGAATTGTTCCAGCAAATTAACTTTCATGCATGTGCTCTATTCCATCTAAAAGTGGCCATAGTTCCAGCTGATTTATGATTTTATGTTATTATTGTTAATTAATATTATAGCTCGACCGATATCAAATTTTGAAGCCGATATCGCATACCGATATCGATATATCGGCCAACTGGTGGCTGATAACCGATATCGCAATGCCGATATTATTAAAAATCATATTTTGAGCCAAGCTTTTATGATGCACCTTGTGAGTTTGTAGTTTCATTTTGATATTTGTTATCATGGCAGTAACACTTTTATTTAACTAACTTTAGTTATTAATGCTCGAACAAATGTTTTTTCTGTAACTTTTCTTGCTACTTCAATATCAGACTAGCTATTTCCCGGAAAAAAAATTGTTAATCAGACATTTTTACATATAACTATGGATATATGTCAAGGGTGATAAAAAATTATAACGTGATATATTTTAAAGTGAATCGTGATAATGATCTTTCGATATTGTGATAGCATATGTGCAGTTACATGTGAAATTTTTAATAACTTTGTTTCCAGAGACTCTCAATACCTTATTTAGTCAATAATAATGGATGAAGTTTTTATTTTGTAATTTTCAGCAAAATGATAAACAACCATCAATATAGACAAAACTGTTACCCCAGAAATTCAAAATTGATTTGGGGAGGTCACAAATTCGGAACTGACATTATTGCTTTGAGCTACCTGTACCATGTTTCCACGATCACTAACTCACCAGCTTCCAATCGATTCTATTTATAGAACCACCGTTTAATGCTGTTACTAAATTTGCCTTTTTCTCATTGTGTACTCTCTCAAATATGTCACTTTATAAAAGTCATTGTTACTCCAGATAATAACTTTTCAGTTATGACCATGCATGAAATGGCTAATCATAAGACACCGAGAATTAGGTGAGACACCTTTATAACGCAAAATGAAAGCGAGAGAAATATTGGGAAACCAGTTACGCAGGGCCGTTGCAGCAGGCAGCCCTGTTGCAGCACGCAGCCTGGCGCTTGCCGAGTATGGCCGATATATATCGGCGGTTTACGGCCGATATGATATATCGGCAAACACGCAATATTGGCCCGATATATCGGTCGAGCTCTAATATATTTTTATTAAACCAACTTGGTAATATATTGTCTACCTGTAGATATTGCTTTCATTCTTTCTCTTCCTGAGAACTTAAATGAAGTTGAAATTTTCAGAATTAAATTTTTAGTCTAGTTCACCTGTAGTCAAAGCGTGTTATAACCAGGACTGGGAGCTAGGTTCCAGCTCCATTGTGACTCTACCTTCGCAACTTATTGCTTCAGCTTCGTAGTCATAATGAGTTTTTTTGGTATGACGATGGTATGCTACATTATCGCAGTTGCGCAGAAGCGGAACTCAAAACTATTATGATACAAGGGTTTTGAATTTTAAAATTAAATCCTGAATACACAAATTTACTATTTCAAATTAATATTAGAAATTTAAATTAAACAAAAAATGATAAGCTGAAAAAGTTAAATTGCATTATTTGTGTCAAGTAATAAAAAATTCATGCATAGGAAAAAATAGATTGTTAATTAACTGGAGCCACTAAAATTTTTGGTAGCTCCAGCTCTATCCAATATAGTAAGCTTGTCTCCACCCCTCAATATAATGTTACAACTCCAGCTTCCAGCCCTGGTTATAACGAAGGATTTGGATGTACATGGGACCATAAAGGGAATTCCAGTAAAACAATTTCGATACAAATAGCTTAACCATTTTACTACTGAAAATTTTCAGTAAAATGACTAGATAATATAATTTTTTGCATGAGCTGTTTTGTAATATTGGTACATCATTGTTAATATTAGTAATTGCAGCTTTTTTGGCATAAAAATTATAGTAGATGCTAATACGGTGGTTCTCAACCTTAACAGTATTGCCCTATTCATGTCAAAACTGTATCCATGTCGTTAACTAAATATATTCATGTCCATTGAGCTGACATACCTATAAAAAAAGCATGTATCGTCATTTTGATGCAAAAGACTACGAAAACATTAAATTTGTGTAACATTGTCAAGACATTTCATGAAATTTAGAAATGCATCCCTTATTAATTCTTATAAGATCCTCTTATTTCATGCTTCTATGTTCTATCACTTCCTCATATCAAAGATTCTGAAAGGTTGAGAACCATTTGGCTAATACATGTGAATATATGTACCGGTATAAAAATATAAAGTAATAATACATTGACTAATATCTGTGGATAATAGATTGAGATGTTCTATATACGGTAGTTTTATTGTTTTGAAAGGCTCATTTTTCTTGGCTTTGTTTCATATAATGTTCTCCCCGAAATTTAGTTTTTAAAAGGATATCATCATTTGAAAGCAAATATACAAATTTATCTGTTTTATATGCATTAGTTACAGTTACTCAGTCAGAATTCCTTTATAAAATAGTTATCTTGGAGAGCTGAACTGATAATTTCAATTAGTAATTTTTCCATTTTGGATCGGAAATTTCTTGTTCAAGCTGAATAAATCTTACTTACTTCTTGCTTGCGTGGCATAATTGCTGGAATACTTTATTTCGTACCTGTACTGTTGTTGTGTGAGATTGTTTCACTTTTTATATTATCTTTAACCCTTTGTTCTGCTTCCCACCAATATATAGAAAACTTAAAACGATTGGGCAGATGTTAAATATAAATGTGGTCTTTAAGTTCTGAATTTTACTATTTAGCTATTGTATTTTACCAGAGTTGTTTTGCATATTAGTATCTTTTCACCAACTATGGCTTGGGTTACAAGGATACTTAAATAAAGAATTACCCACTTATTACAATTTTATGATTATTTTTGTTGTCGATTTTTTGGTGACATCTAGGCAAAAAAGGATAGAGTGCATAATTAGTGTATGCTCTTTTCTTTACAATACTGTTTTGAAGTGCTTTTCAGAAAGTGGTTGTGCGTTCTTCTTCTCGGTGTTTTTATTTTATATAATTTTTAAACTAAGTTGACTAAATTGAGTTCAAATTGAACCACTGTGCCCCCATTTTGTACTTTTATATTTTACTTTATAATTATGTGCCTACAGAATTTATTTACTTATATAGCAGAGCTGTCTGCAAACAGCATCACAAGCCAGTCAATACAAGTTAGTTTAAACTTATTTGAGCAGCAAATTGTTTCTGTGGCCTGGTGTAGCCAAACTTATTTATGGTAGGAAAAAATGAGTGTGTGATAAATAGAAGAGAGATTGTTTTGTGGTATATCTGTAACTTTGTATGAATGGATGCATTTGGAGTTGTGTCATATTTGATCTGTAACTTTTAAAGTATATAATATATAGCACTCAAATTTTAAAATTATGTCTTCCCACCTTTTTCAGTAACGACAGAGCACCCTGTTGAGGTCTACATTACCAAAATCAAGAAACAGGACAAGGGAGACTTGTATAAGAGACAGAAAAAATGGCACCTAAGAGAACTGAAAATGGTCGATGGCAAGGACTCAAAAAAGGTAGGTGACATTATTTTAAATGTTCCCGCTTTGTGCGGAGATGTACGAAGAAATTTGAAAAGTATATATTATTGATCACAGAATAGGCCTATGAATTGTTGTTGTTAATGATCAGAAAAAGTGCTAGAAGGCTATTATGTTAAATTTTTTTCAAATTACAACATACCCTCGCATATAACCCAACCATAAAAACGGTCTTAAAACGACGAATTTATGAAAATACACATATAAGCCGACCCTGCGGCGCGTAGCACGCCGGACGCCAGAGGCTAAATAAACAAAACGTGTTGATGCGCTTTATGCAAAAAAAGGAATTGAAAAAATATGAAAGGTGCAGAAAGAAAACAAAATCACCGTAACACAAACATTTCTCATGTTTATCGTCTGTTAGCGAGGGTCATAATTATTTGGATTCATACTCGTAACTCTTACTTGTAAATTTATGTCAATAAAGTCTATATTGCTTTTTAATGCGTCTTGATTTGTATTAATGAAAGGGATTGTGTCAGGAGTTTAAAAGGAAGTCTCTGGATGAGCATAGAATAATTTCTTTCGATCGCCCACAACTGCGATTAATTTCATTTCATGTCTTTTTCAAGGAAAGAAATAATGCCTTATTTACACATTCTTATAAAAAGAATTTTGAAACGTCGAAGAATGAATATTCTTCTGTGATATATTTACAAGCTACATTCTTTCGATGCTGCTACAGTTGGCAATTTTTCGGTAATGCGATTTGAATAATTTTATTTATCAGTTGATTTTGAATATCGTGTCATTACTTCAACAGTATGAACACTGCGATGCATGATATAGATATTCCAATTATCACAGTGATAAGAATCCTCCTCAGCGCCACTAAAAAAGATAACAGGTGATCGTAAAGGGGATTAAAAGTAAATCGACGTTGTTGCTGTTGTTGTAGAAGATAAATCAATTTTTTTCCATTGTTAAATTTTACTTTTATTAAAAACGGTAAGATTAGAATAACGGAACTCAATAACGGTAATAAGAGTCTCAAAATCCTTCGAATTTCTCCTCACTATCACACTCCCCAAAGAGATCATTCCTTGCAGTCAACATTCAATATTTTTTCATCTCTATCACTGTCCTCCTGCCGTACGGCTTCATCTTTCGTGCCATCTAAATTGTTGCTGATGTAACATTGTAAACATAACTTTTTTATCAGATCTTCGGGAATCATTTCTCAAAAGGTCTTCACCCGACCCACAACTGTAGTCAGAGGGCGCTTGTAGTTCCGTTGGCTTGTACGTTCAGCCATGCCATCTGCCATCCACTGTGTCCACTGGTTTTGCATGTGTGCCTTGAAGGGTCTGTTCAGACTGACATCTAAGAGTTGTAGTATTCCAGTCAACCCTCCTGGTATGACTGCCGAGACAGTGTTTGACTCCTTCAGAGACAGCTTTACCTTTTCGGTAAAGGTGAGCTCTGAGTAGGTCCCAGACTAACATGGAAAGTTTCCTGAGAAGACCTCTTGAGCACCCATACCTTATTTTTCCATTTGATTACCCCTTTGTTCATTCATCCCGTTGGGTGCTGATGGATGACTACACCACAGGAAAATTTATCCATTGGGGGTGTTTTTCTTTTGAAGATACCATTGGTGGCAAATTCACACCATCTGCAGTGCAACTGAGCACTACTGTAAAATGTTTATTTTATGCCCTGTTGATAAAGACTATTTTTCACCTTCTGGGTTTAATGTTTTATTGCTTAGCATGTCAAAACACATTAGGGTTTCATCCAAATTGCCTATTCTATTGAAAGGGAAATTATCATTCTTTCGTTTATTTATCACGTAATGTTGAAAGTTCATCACCTTTTCCTGAAATTCTGATGGCAGCTCTTGTGCTATTTTAGTTCTTAGTTTTAGTGAAATCCCATTTCTCCTCAAAAACTTTGTACACCAACCCTTGGAAGCAGTGAAGGTTGAGGTGTCTTGGTATTTTCCAGATTTGGCCATCTGCAATGTTTGCAACTGCACTGCACTTTCCCATTTCATAGGAAACTTCATCATTGAACGCTTTGTGAGGGGTTGTCAAGAGTTTAAACATTCTGTATTGCTTGCTCTCTACGTTCTTTTTAGTGCAGTTTGGTCCTTGAAATTACAGATTTAAATGGATACAAAAATGAATCTGAATCTATCTGAATCTGTCTGACAAGTGAGCCAGTCTTATGATAAATCCCTCTCCTCCAGATCTTTTTGAAAATCTTGATCCTTCTCCAATAAAAACCCAAGTAGTTCATCCCTCAATTGAAAAAGAAGTTTTTGTTATATTCCCCCTGGCGAGCCAGCGCACCTCTGTGTGATAGAGAAGACAAGTGTGATCAGAGCCGAGATCTTCACAGATCAGCCAAAACAGGCGACTAGAGCTGACGTTTTGACGAAATTTATCATTTTTGTAATTTGGTTCAAGCATGATAACAACTTCGGTGGGAGTACCTTAGCGCTAAGGGAGAATCTGTGTATTGTGTATCAGTGTACACCGGTGAAGTTTGGTGACACAGCTTTCACATGGGCTTAAAATCCAGACTTCCGACCAAGCATAGACGGAGCCCCATCTCTTGTGCACCCGATTACGTTTTCCCCAATCCAGTTCATTCAGCTTAAAGAAATTTTCTAAAACTCTGAAAACATCCTTTTCTTCTGTTGTACTGCACAACTCTTGGCTCAGCAGTAATTCAGTTTTCACAGCATTATTCTGTGTGAATGGGACATAGACAAGTAGTTGACTGCAGTTGGAAACGTCTGTCTATTCGTCAACCTGTATTGCAAACCTAAATTTTTAGGCTCCTACTCTCGCTATCACTTGGTCGGCTATGTCAACTAACATTTCCTCAACACGGCGCTTTACAGTTTTGTTAGAGAGGGACACACTGTCTTTCACTTGCCACAGACTCCTCTCCCATCACACGTCTGACCAAAATCCCTGCTGCTAGCAATATGAGAGACTCTGCAATGGTATGAGCCACCATGCTTTTAGGCACCAGGAAAGCGACTCCATGTGATGCTTTGACATCTCTGCTTCCCTCTGGTGGAATAAGCCAGTCACAATGGTGAGAAGCAAAAAAAGACGTTCCTTACCACGGCGGCTCAAAGAAAGCACTGAAATTAATTGAGAAATCTCTGCGATTGAGAAAAAACAGAATGTACTCGTGTACCACCTGGAAGATAATATTATTTTCGCAGCGGTTCTAGGATAGTAAAATAAGTCAGCACTTCGAAACGATGTCATTTTGTGCATACGAGGTCAATTTTGTATCCGTAATGTTTTTTGTTGCGTATAAAACAATGCAAACTATGCGTCAAGCTGGGAGTTACGATCTCTCAACCAGTTTGTTTTTACGCCTCACAATCTCGCTGTTGGAAGCAAAAGAGAAAATATAGCAAGAACAAAGAAAAATTTCCCTTTTTAATTTGCATCCGTTTTGTCCACATCATTTACTGGGAAACACCAACAAACATGGAAAGAAAACAACCTCGAACTGAGTTTGACGCCGATGAAGCTTTGCTGCGTATTTTGGAAGAGTCTGATATAGATGACGAGAATTTTGATGAAAGTGATAGTCTAATGTCTGAAGTAGAGCAAGATTCAGGTATGGAAGTTCAAAAATGTATTCAAAAATTTTGATGCTTGATAAAAATCTTGAATGTCATTTTCAAATTTAGAGTCGGAGGAAGATTTCTCATTGGCCGATGTTCCTTCGACATCAACGAGCGTGCCGCAGTGTAAGCGGTCAAGGTGGCGTCAAAGACCTGAGTTGCAGTTGGCTGACGTCTCTTCACCCGGCGAGAACGCCTCTGCAGTCAGAATACGAGTGGCAAAAAGTTCCACCACAAAGAACTATACGCCAGTTCGGTGAGGCGCCTGGTGTCAGCATTCAGAATATGTCAGCCACTCCATCTCCGCTAGATTGTTTTATTCAATTTTTTACGGTTCAAGTCATCAATTTTATAGTGGAGATGACAAACCTGAATGCCCAAAAAAAGCTTCAAGGTATGTAAAAATATATATACCGTAAAAGTATAGGCCTATTTTATTTCAACTTCATGTTCAACATAAAAGATGATGACGTAGTTGATAAAAGCAAAATAAATAGAATTGATTACAGCATTGTTTCCGATTCCAATCTTTGTTTTCTTTTTCAGTCACCAGCGCTCACCGTGCCACTCGCCAACTTCCTCCACTGAAGTTTGAGCCATCGACCTTCGAACAGATGAAGGCATTTTTGGGCCTTACGATCGCAATGGGAATTGTGAAACTGCCAGTTATCGCCATGTATTGGCAAGAGAAACACTGGATATTCGAAGTCCCGTCATTCAGCAAGATCATGCCGAGGGATCGATATCATGATCTACTGAAATTCCTACATTTCTGCAATGAAGATTATGCTCCGTCACGAGACAACCCGGCAAGAGATAAACTCTGCAAAATAAGACCTCCCTTGAATTTACTCGAAACGAGGATGCTAACAGTTTACACGCCTAGACGTGAAATATCGATTGACGAGTTTCTAATCTCGTTCAAAGGACAAATTGGATTCCGCCAATTTATTCTTTCCAAAAGGGCTCGTTTTGGAATGAAAGTGTGGGTATTGGCGGAATCCAAAACAGGTTATATTTCCTGTATACAGTTGTATACGGGTAAAAGCGCTGGAGCGGCGCCGGAGGCGGGCCAAGCTACTCGAGTGGTGAAAGATCTGATAACATCATTCGAATACCAGAACTATCACCTCTATGTCAATAATTTTTATTCTAGTCCCGACCTGTTCGCTTCGTTATTAGGGCAGGGCGTATATGCCTGTGGGACTATAAGACCAAATCTAAAAGCGTTTCCGAAAGACCTTATCATAAAATCAATCGCCAAAATTCAAAGGGGTTTTACCGACTGGCGAGTATCCGGGAAGCTACTTGCCCAGTCTTGGGTGGACAATAAAGCGATTTATTTTCTATCCACAATTCATGGCCCTGAATATCCCGAATCATACAAAGGTTCAAAGTCTGTAAAAAGAAGAGGTGGGCGCTGCACGGCGTCCGCGGGTGTAGATGTCACATGCCCTTGATGTGTAGATGTCACCACTCCTTGTCGATTACAACACCCATATGGGCGGGGTTGATCTTTCCGACCAGATGCGTAAATACCATAATATGGCCCGCAAGTCCAAAGCGTGGTACAGATGTGTGTTTTCCTACCTACTTGCAGTATGTATACATAACGCAAGAGTTGTGTGCGAATCCGCATCTGGTCGGAGATGGAACGGGGTGAAATTCAGACAAAACCTTGTGGACGAGATAGTCGGTAGCTTCAGAGGAAGCAGAAGACCTTCCCGTAGGTCAGCGGAATCCGCGGCAACCACTCGATTACAGGCCGGGTATCATTTAGCCAGGTATGTTGGTCCACCAAAAGTCTGTGCTGTCTGTACTAAGCGAAACCAAGTGGCCCCAATTGAACATAAAGTAAAACTGGTGTCGCAGATGACAACAATTGCGGAGTACATTTGTGTATGGGTAATAGCAGAACTTGTTCTGAAGAATACCACAAGAAAGTAGAGTATTGACGGTGAATGATTCCTGTTGTTTTTGTATATATTGTAGTTTTGGTGTAAATATTCGTTCCTAGTCGTCATGTTTTGTATGTGTGTGTGATATATAAATATATATATATATATAAATATACAAGGAATTTGTGTTTACTTGGCAATGAAATACCTTTGAACGAGCAAGCGATCGATCTTTGTCACACAAAGCAAACGTAAGATTTCCAGACGGTATACGCAATGATAGGTCAGCTGCGCAATTGACAAGCGCTCATATAATCTTCGTTATATCTAGTTTGGTTGTGCGTAGGAATACAAGTTTGGAATTGTCTGGAAGATGACGTGTTGCTTGTTCACGAGAGTATTCTCTATCTCTTTTATCTAACGTGTGCTTACCACAGTATGGAGAGTAAGAAAACTTTTTCTCAAAATTTTTTGAAAATTCTCTCTTACAACAGGCATACGGAATTGAGATTATAGTGACGCGTATAGCGCGAGGATTGGTGAAAAGCCGCGAAAACTAGCCTTCCATTGGTTCATAGGAAAAGTTCCTGGCACTTTTGGTTAACTATTTATTACATATTATAAAAGGGGTATAAAAAGTCCCTTTGGACCAGCGAAAAAAAAGTTGAGCAAAATTTTGTCTTCAGAGTATGGGAGTTATAAAATACAGCTTTAGCTTTGACTCCCCGCCCTCACCTATATTTCGGTACCGATACTCATCCTTCTTGTTTTTTATATATTTGAATATTGCTGTATTATTATTGATTATATCAATATTTTTAATAAATATTAAAATGGTATTCATTATATTCGACAAACTTTGTGTATGCTTCTTCCGTAACATTAAATTATTTCACAGGATTCCACAGATTTCGATCTTCTCTTCGACAAGAATTTCAAATGGTTTGCAAGCAGTGTGAGCGAAAAACACACTTTTCTATCATGCTTGTGGAAGGTTTGTTGATATTTATTCCAATTATTAATGATGTATTTGTCACCTGTTGTGCTCTAGAAACGCTGTAGACAAGAAATGCGCTAATGTGCCACGATCCTTCTTCGAACCAAAATAATAACTTTCTTCCGAAATTTTGGAAATTATGGAAGTTTTATTTCATTTGTGAATTTGCTTCATTCATCACAGAAGTTTTTTTCACACATTTTTAACCATATATATATATATATTTATGGCATGTTTCAATTTAGCACTCACGAATTTAAAGCATAAACTCTTTGATTATAATGTAGTATTCAGGATATAATATGTTCTGTTTGTAATTGTTTTACATTCACCTTTATTTCTAGCTATGTCGGCGCTATCTTCCAAGACTGAATAAACCAACATTCAAGAATGTGCCAGAATCTTTGATGGAAGGTAGTGTTTATTTTATCAATCAATAAAAAATTATCTTGCTGCTTTTATCATTTGGTTGACAAGAATGGGGAATGTCCAAAACAAACCGAATATCAGAATTATTTTGTAATTGGTCATATTCCTTATCATTAATGTCTGATGTTAGGAAAACGGTAACCATAAATTTTTTTTATATGAAAATTTGTCACTGGATTTATTTGATGTGCATTTGCCAGATATTTTCTTATTTATATTTAGATCTGACACCATAAAAGAAAATGACTCAAAACTAAATTTACTTTTAACTTCAATGCACTACTTTCATTTTTACGCTTTTACAATTCCTATTTTTAACATGACTTAATTAACAATATAAGCTATCCGATCTTCTATTTTCTACTATATTTTAGAATATTTTCGGAAGACTATCTTATTTTGCTCCTGAAATTTTTTTTGTTTGTTTTAGTGTCTGTCTCAGGCAGTGAATCCCAGCGTACATCTGGAAGTGGTCCTGGAACAGATGGGTTTCCTACAGAAGAAAATTATCAGGTAGATAGCAGATACAGTAAAAATACAACAATTCGAATCCAACAGAGTAATACTTTGGAAGCGCTTTGGAATCTTTAAATACATTTTTCATTTGTAGTTTCAACACTAAATAATTTTTTTTTTTATATATTTTAGGTGCTAACCTCGAAGGAAGAAACTGACTTGGAACGCATGCTATCTGAATGTGAAAATGCGATTAGTGATGCTGAAGCTTTTGCGTCAAATATGTCAAAAGACTTATCTGTACTCGATGGTGAAAATATCAGTTCTATAATGGGATCTGAAGCACAGGTAACTACAACAACAACACACATAAACCTAAATTACTTATAACTAGATTCTGATTTAGGAATCCATGCATAAAGCCCTTAATTTTCACAGTATTCGAATATCGTTTCTCAAAAATTTTAGTTTTAATCATAATGAAAAATACATAAAAATCTGCTCAGCGAACAAGATTTAGAGCATTGTGTTTTGAATTGAAGGTCCTTTCTCTTTGTCTACTTTCTACTTCAACTTCGTATGTGGGCATTGTCACAGGGATGCTTGAACATAACATAATTGTGAGCTTTCCTTAAATCATAGTGAATACTATTATTTTATCTTGATTTGTCTGAAGAAGTTAAATATGATCTTAATGAAAGCTCACATATACACATGCTATTTCGTGGAAAAAGATTAGGTTAAAACAGAAAACTGCTAATTCATCTTTGGTGCTCCAGAAGTGTGTGTACCAATATGGAGATAACTAATTTTGTTCGCCTACTTTACATCAAAAGGAACTGAAGAAGCCTATGGGCAAAGGATATATTCACTTGGCTACCACAGACATTCCCCGAATTCGTAATACAACTAAAATTAATAAAATCTGAAAAAAACATGGCCCAACTCTAAACCTGGTACACACACTATGGGAGTACCTCATCTTTTAGTAAATAGTTTAATTCTCTATAGATGAATATCTGTTTTTACTTGTTATTTCAGTATGCAGAATTGAATTTCAATTTTTGCAAAATGACATTTTCAATTTTTGGAAATTCTAGTTTTGTTTTAAAATTTGTGAGAAATAATATACTTCACATATAAATGCTTATAAAACATTATTTTTGAGGTTACTCTAGTTTTGAGTTGAATGTATGTAAACTCTATATTTCAACTAAATTTTTTTTCTTAATTTCACTATTTTTTTGGTTCCCGCAGGTCAATCAATTGATGTCTCTCCTTGATAATGCCTTGGATGAAGTCACTGCAGTTGAGACAAGACTAGATGGATACAATGACATGGTCCAGAGTATTTCAGGCCAGATGGGCCAAATGAAAAACCAAGAATCTTTTATCCAAATTACGAATAAGAATCATACAATGCTCCTACAAGAATTGGATAAACTAGTAGTAAGCTAATTAATCTCTTTAATAAATTAAATTAAATTTTTCAATGGCTATTATTAATTTCATACCTTTGCTTTTAGCTTCAACTTGATCTGTCCAAAGGCCACATTAAAGCATTGAACGAGGGTGATTTGAGAGTTGACAGCGGTATTGAGGCTTGTAGTAGTGCAGCAGAGGCTCTACAGCACGCTATGCAAGTGGAACTACATCCAGGTCAGTAGCTACTAGCTATACATATGTGTGTAGTATCTGAAAGGTATTGTTATTTCAAAACTGGATTGAAAAGAATGAAATAATTCAAATTTCATTGGAATAATTTTCTGCTTTTGTTTCGATTTTAGTTGGTCTATATAGCACCCCTTGTACGGTAGTATATTTATATCAGAGTGCAGCAGGACGTTTGGCATCTTTTTCCTTGCCAATTTTTGCATTTTACGATTTATAAATACGGCGCCATCAAGATGAAAGAATTGATTCTTAGTTTACCCTAAAATATAGCGAAAACCATGCTAAATTTGTTGTATATATAATTTGATAGTCTTGATTTCACTGCCAAGTGGCTTAATTTAACAAGTTTCAGATTTTTTTTCATCTTTTCAACAATTTTTTTGTATATTGCAGGAGTGTATCAACTTGTTGCAGTCAGGGAACAGCAAAAAATGTTTGAGGATTTGAGACAGAAATTTGCTAAGCGTCTCTACCATTTTCTTTATGATGTCTTCATGAAACAGGTATGCTGATTTTCTAATTGATATTAAACTGTGTATTCTCTAAATTTTTCATGATTTCATCATGTCAAAAATATACGTTAGAATTTTTGTCAATATTTGAATATTCAAGTAAACGTTTCTCGTGTGAAATTTTGAATTTTAATCAATAGAGTCATGATATATATGCCAACTTTTATAATATGAAATATTCGAATTTCAAAATTGGTAGCACTAGCACCTTAGTTATAAGTTGCTGCTTTTATAAACCAGGGCTGGGTCGTCGGAGCCATGGAGCCAAGCTTACTATAACAGATGGAGCTGGAGCCGCAGTCATCAGAAATTTTAGTGGCTTCGACTCCTAACCATCTCTTTTATTTCATATTTATAATTTTCTGATACCTGTTACGAATGATAATCTATTCTTTTCAGCTCATAATTCATTTTATAAATTTTAGTTCCTAATATTAATTCAAAAGTTATTTTATAATTCAAAACTCGTAGAAAATTAATCATAACACCTATTTTTGCTGCAGAAAGTAAATTTTACAAGTAATGTAGTAATGTCATTGCCTGAATATTTTTCAACTCGTGTACATTATATACCGGTATTAGTTTTGACCAAATTTTTCTTCTTACATCTAAGTTATGTGGTTCATCATTTAATTGTTTTTATCTTTAATTTTGTTCAATAAATGTTCAAATATTGTATTATTCAATTATTTTTACCATATTATATGAGAAACTTTTTATTTTGCAGGGGAATGAGCAAGCTGCAGGTGGACTAGCGAGACAAGCAAATAATTTGAAACTTCCAAAACATTTTCCATATCATCGAGATTTACTACCATATAAACAACTTGTTCTATGGCTGAAAGTTGCAGACAAAACCAAGTATCAGCAATTATGTGGGGTATGTCACAAGAATTTACAGAAACTTTTCAAATACAAATAGTCTCCTTTCCTAAAATTTCCTGCGACCCTTTATTCCGAGTAGCGCACCCCTTATCATGTCTTACAATAAAAGTCAACATTGTTATGCAAGCGCGCAGCTTTTCTGATCCCATGTATTCTTTCAAAATTATGATAGTTGTCGGAACTCGAAATTAAAAAAATTTAGAAAATGTTTTGTTATATAAATATTATATTGTTTTCAGATTTATACCCAGAGTCTATGTAAGCTGTATTCTCGTGAAATCACTGAATTTATGACAAATGCTAAACAGAGATTCATTGAAAAAGGTAATTATTATTCAAAATGTTAAATTATTTGTATTTTATTTGTAGGTACACTGTTTAATGGTAGTAGTATATCATTGAATGAAAAATTCCTGTCTATATTTAGTACTTTACATAGTAGTCTCTCACTTCTTCAATCTTTAATAATTGATTTAATTATTAAAGAGTGTCATGGTCATAGTCATTGAAATAAAATTGAAAATGTTGTTCAATTCTGGTTTTATTTATGACGGAATCTGTCTGTTTCGGCATTGCCTACCCAACTTATTATAAGATGTGTTACCTCCGTTGAGTCTAATATTTTAAATAATCGGCCCTTACGCAAGTTGTTGAACCTTAAATAATCCGGTAATTCAAAAATAGAGTATCTCCTTACATAACAGTGGATAACTGTACGAGGCCTCGTTCGGAGCAGAAGAAATATAAAAAAAATCCCAAAATAAGGTTATACATCAAGGGTTGAATTGCCTGCCTTACACAACCCTCAAGAAGTTGCTGCTCATACAGAGCCTAGTTCAAATTCATCCTGTATTTTTTATTAATCATCGAATTTGTACAGCTACTATTTCCCCACAAATGGGAGCAGCGGCCTTCAAGGCTGCAAGTTCATCAACAATGAGCTTGAACACTCAGGCTTCGAAAGAAAGAAAAGGCAGCAAAGCGTTTGGCGGATTAAGCAAAAGTATATTTAATGAATGAATGTAGTTGTTCACTAACATGGTAGCTTCCTAATTATCACATCACTTACTCTTTCACCTTGGATACGCTGGTTTGGTGTAATCATATCATTATGACTCGTACTTATTGCTGTAATTTTGTAGCATCTTATCTTCAGTAGTTTGTATTTTACCTTTCTAGTTGGGACATTTTCCTTCAGTACTGGCCGTAGGTGTGTGTGTAGAAGTTTGACATGTAATATTGGTGCAGATACGGACAAAATTCCCACTGTTGTATTGGTGTGGGGAATGCATACATCATTTTGCGACTTGATTTGTTCGTTGTTGCAGTACTCAGATGAAGCGACCACTACTTTTCAGTATTTCTAATTGTTCGATTTAGATGCAGCAAAATCTTTAATTGACTGCAAGTGGTACAATCTCATGCAGCGCCACTGATGTATATTTTTTCAGACATCTGTTTCCCAGCATTTTTTCTGGACATTTTTTTTCAATATCTGAAACTTTAAACATCTTTTCATATGTATTTATTATCAATCTCTTTGTTTTCACTCTTTCATATCATGCATCCTGCTCCTTCACCATGTACGCTTGTTCCTATGTTTCACCTGCTCGCATGGGGTGCACATTCTGCTTTGATAGCATTAGATATAGATTGTCTGATGATTAATTTATTACGCAACATTCTTATGTTCATTCCAGACTTCCAACATTCTGTGAATTACGTGTCTTTTCTCATTCTTCGAATCCCACTGCGAAATGTTTCCTATCTCACACAGGCAACACAAATTGTTCCGCTATAATAATTCCTTACTTAACATCAAAAATCAGTAAAATACGTGTAAAACGCCATATAAAAAAGACTTTAAATATTATTTTTGTCTATGAGGAGTAACCCTTCTTTTCTCTTCATCGGTAATTCAATTTTGAATTAGATGTCTTTTTGTTGAAGTTCGACTCTCATTTTTTTAGTTGGTTGTGTTTCTCTAACTCGTGACATCGTTGTCATATTTCATTCTCTATTGTTGTTCAAATATTTGACAGTGTAGTGTTGCATGTATAGTATCTGGTTGTCATTGGTGTTGTACTGTAAAAGTGTAAAGTATATTAGCATGTGCCTATTACACGACTTAAACGGTGGCTTACAAACTAAAAATCATAATTTAAAGAATTAGGTGGCCATCAATTTAATGTTTATAATGTACAAAATATAATGTTTTCATATACAAAATTATTGAGCAAATGTTTAATCTTATTCATCTATACATGAAGACTTTTACGTATTAAAGTCTGGGATGTACCACATAATTTAAGGGTGGCTATAGAGATCGATTCTATTTATTAAAGCTTTTTTATGCTTTATATTGTCGTCCTTATCAACTACGAGCAATTTTATATTTCTTTGATCAAAAGTGTTTCTGGTAAAGGAAAATGTTTTGCGCTTGCAATCACAAGTCAGGACGACAAGTTAAGTCGTTTTTCTGCGCTCTGTAACTGTTACTAGTCATTGTACAGATGTGAATTACAACGCGAAAAAAAATTGACAATGACTAATATACAAGCAATTTTTAGTTTGAGTATCTGACAGGTTTTTAATTCGCATTAAAAGCTTCTGTCAATCTGTATATTTTTGTGAATGATTTCGTTATAAGGGAACACTGTCTTAATTGCTACAAAAATTTGAATCTTCATTGTATTTCAGAGCTGAGCAGCAGCATTAAGAATTTGTCTGGATCCTCACAAAGTTTAAGCAAACAACACAAGAAATTATTAGGAGGTTCTACCCAGAGTTTGAATGTTAAATGTGAGTTCATGGTAACTTGTTCATCCACATATTGAGCGTGGAAAAGCATTATTGTGCTTTTCAAATTGGGAACACTTGTGATGGGGACATTGTTTTTTAGCGATGGGGAAAAAGTTGAAAAAATTAGGCAGCAGCAAAAAACATGGTGGATTAGCAGTGAGCCGTGAATCACTTGCAGCTTCTGATTTTGAATTGTCTGACAGAGAAAAATTCAGTTCGGTGAGTTATTTGATTTTAGTGTGTTACAGAATTTTTTGCATTCTGTTTAATTATATTTGTGCTGTCATTTTTTGCATTTTCAGACGTTCCGCGAAGTGTTGAATGAGCTGGAACCTACTTGCCAGGATGAAGAAGATTTCTTAACCCGATTTTTTCATCTTAATATTGAGACTGCTGATACATTAATGCCTGTAAGTATTTATTCAAATCATACTTTTGTCATTCAATTATTCTAGCCATCTACATTGTTTAAGATTAATGTCACACATATGGTATATGTGGATTTAGTGTGGATGTGGATTGTAGCTGCCTATAATAATTTTTATAAGGTGAGTGCTCTCAATTCTCGATAGTGAAATTTACAAAAATCATTGGAACTCAAAAATTACACCATTGTTAATGATGATAGTTGTTATATAAACATTGACTATATATTTTTAAAGGTATTTTGAATTGCTTCTAAAATCAAAAATTGACTACTGTATTTGCTCGTTTTGTAGCCCGGGCCCATATTTTTTTAACCAACTCACTAACCGGGCCCTTATTCAAGCACGGGCGCTTGTTAATTTAAAGTAAAATTATACACAAAAACTATGGTAATTGGACGCCTATGGCGTGAGTGTGTTATCTACCAGCGCTTAAAATTCTACAGCGTTGTGACAAAAGCGCTTATTTCCTATTGTTCTCTACCACTAAAAAAATCAGCATTTACATCGGGCGGGTATTCAAGCACCGGCCCTTATTTATTTTTATGTTCTGTTCACACGGGCGGCTATTCAAACAGGCCCTTAATCAAGATTGGGCGGTAAAACGAGCATATACGGTGTATCGAATATGAACAATTTGGAATGTATTCTAATATCTGATTCACCAAAGATATTCCAGGAACCTAAACTATCAGCATTTCTTTTCCATGTTTGCCATTTTAGTAAAATATGAATTACCTCAGTCCTCAAATCTCACAAAAAAAAAAAAATTTGTCGACTCTACTAAAATTTACCAATTTCAATTTTTTTCGAGCATGCACTTTCATATCAATGCTCACTTTTCTTTCAGGGTGGATCTGATGATGAAGAGGATGATACTGAACAAGGTGCTGCGAGAAGAAAACAATATCAGGAGTAAGTATAATACTAAAATTGCCGCTTATACAGACTTCATGATTGGCCTCTGGTGTGTGAAGGATTTGCAGATGGAAAATACTTGTAACAGATATTTAGATTATATGAACATAAAGTAAATTTGGTATAAGTTATGAATTTCATCAGTTTTGAGTTAGCAAGGCTATCAACCTATCTTCTCTAGCAAAAATGAGGATGATTGTTCTATGAGATTTGAGGGCCTTGCAGACTAACACAAATGTATTTCTGCAATGTTCCACGTTGTTCTTAATAAAGTGCTCACCGTTTCATTTTTCGCCGTTGAATAACAAATTCACCAATGTGATAACCATTATTTATGTGCACACGCCATCGCTTTTTTGTCAAGTCAGATTATGATTTTGGGTTTTGATGTTGCCTAGTCATTTTTTTGAACAATTTTTGTTTCAACCAAATTATGTATAACTTAGATTTAATATTTTGATATTTTCGTTTCAGAACTTCGTTAATGTAAGTTATTCTTATGTATGCATGTTTATGCCAGGGCCGATCACACTAAAACCAAGCTGACTGCTTATTTTTAACAATAATGATTTTTATTAACATTAAATGATGTGCAACCTGTTTCTGGATGATTAATAATTCCTGTTGCCAGAAATTGGAACTTTATATTAATGAAAAAACTAATATTCATTTTTCTAGGGTACAGGTTGTGAAAGACATCAGGTATGATTAATTGTAGTATTCATGGTTATTTTCTCACTGGATTTTCATTTGTAAATGGTGTTAGTCACTGTGCTGTTATGTCACAATAGAATATATATAAATGCTCACTGTGTGGTGTTTTGTGGTGGCTACATGTTAGTAATTTGTATGTGTAACTTCACCTATACTCTCTTCATAATTACTGCCATCGATCCCACCTCAAGTTTTTTTGGGATAAAAATTTCCAGTACAACAGTAGTATGTAAACCAAGATGGCGGACACCGGAACGTAGTATGTGTACCAGGTTAGGGTTAGGCCATACTTTCAAGTACAAATACTACGGGAGTCACTTGGCTAGTCCCCGAACTCGTAATAGAACTAAAATATAGAAAATTGAAATAAAGTTATGGCCTAACCCTAACCTGGTACACATACCACGTTTCAGTGTCCACCATCTTGGTTCACATTCTTTGGTCGTTTCAATAGAAAAGCAACAGTATGTGTTTCATTGGATCAAAAAAAATTACTATAGATAGCAACCAACCCACTGGAAACAGGCTTGCTTTCTAGTCTCAATTAATCTTCAGCAACTTATATTCTATTTTAATAAGTCGAATCCGGTATCCGCTGTTAAAGCTCCATATTTTATGTTAAATTGAACGATGCTCTTTGATAATCGATGAAAGTAGACACACAATGTTTTAATTGTGCCACATTATAGTCTGCAATTTTGTCACCAAAAAAACTTGATAATTACTTCACTCGGTGCCAGGCATATTCCAGGGTTCAAATTGGCAAAGTTTAGTCTTGGTTTATGCCTAAAAGAAAGTAATTTATTTTATTGTTTGATATGAATAAGATAATATTAGAATGTAATATACTATTAGACCGACAGACAAAATATGGTGAGTACAGTTTTGGGTAATTAGGTTTCTTCTACTATTTTTAAGTAGTGTTTCTAATAAGTTTCAATTCTGCATTTGAAATGTATTTGATTTGTTCTGTGATTTGTGACTCTGTATATTGAAATATACTATTGCAATTCTATATCAAAGCATGGCTCCTTTTTGCTTTTATCTGTTTACTTCATTTCTTGCATGATTTTATGTTGTTTTGGTTTCTGACTTCTGTAATTCACATGCTTGCTTGTCAATGAAGACTTGTTTTCTTGTCATCTAAAACTTCGGTGCTCCAGAAGTGTGTGTACCATTATGGTCGTAACTAATTTGTTCGCATACTTTACATCAAGTTGTGTAAAGGGACTGAAACCTATGGGCAGGGGGTATATTTACTTGGCTAACACAGGCAGTCCCCGAACTCGTAATAGACTAAAATAATGACAATTGGAATAAAATTATTGCCTAACTCTAACCTGGTACACATACTACGGAAGTACAGAAACTTCTATGCAATCTGGATGAAGTATTCTCTGAGTTTTCTTGGGGCATTAAGTTGAAAAAGATTAATTTTAATTCAAATTAGGGTTCAGTTTTTTATAGGAGATTTGAATTTGAGTTATCTGACATTTGTTAACGGGCCATGTAAGATCAATTTCTTTGTTGTTGACTATTCTTGTGTTTTGCTTCACATAAATGTATTGAGAAGCAAAACCTTAATAATCAACAGCGAATCAAACTTGATGATAGTGGGAAGATCAGTTTTATAAGTATATCTTCAATGACTTTTAATTTATGGCCCAGTCGTATTTTATGCTTGATTTATGCATGGTTTTGCAATTTTTATTTAATATCGAAGGTTTCGTTCAGGCATGTAAAACACTGTAGGCCTATTACATATTTAAAAGAATTGTTATGTAAAATGTAGAATGTTTTCCAAAAAATAACTATTATACACAAACTACTTGCATTACTGAGAGTAACAATTATCTACTTTGAGAACTGTTATTTTGTAAATTTTAATGCTGTAAAAAATGAACAAAAAATCAATTAATAGAAGGTAATTGATTGCTAGATATGTCCAAGAGCTGCGTGATTAGGACTTTGATAGTCGAAATGACTCGTTTTATGGCAAAAAAAGTTGAAATCCATTACTATTATAAAAAACTGTTAAAATATAATAAGTTAATAACATAGAAATACTTTCTGTCAAATTTATAGAAACTTGTCAATTTAGGATTTTTTGCAACACATTTTTCAATCTAGCTCAGCTCATATTAATATCACATACAAATATATTATTTTGTCATTAACTTTCAAAATACCAAAATTATTACTAAACATGCTCCATATAACAACATTTTTATCAAACATCAAGTATCTTTGTCATTTTCGTGAATAAAATTTTTTTATTTAAATAATATTGAATATTTCAGGAGAATGATGACAGAAATATTTACTGTTGTTGAACCACAATTACTTGGATTAGTTGCTTTTGGTGAAAAATTAGATCCACTCAACTCTCTCAATATGTTGGTTGTTATTGGAGACAGAGTTGCGAAAGCTAGGCAGGTTAGTAATGGTGTTACTGACAATTTCAATTTAAGATTTTTAATCACAATAAAGACTTCAAACCCTCGTCCGTCAATTGCTCTGCCTATGACCATCATCACACTCGGGTTGTATGAAATTGTGTAGGCCAGTGTTCTTTTGACCTTTTTCATCTCGACCCACTCGGCACGGCCGAATTTTTTCGGTCATAAACTTATGCATCATGTTACTCAAGTATCTTTGTTCCACTAGTAACATATGGTTCTAGCACTTCTGTTTTCTGATTCTCATTTTGTATTATTTCAGGACAACGATGGATCCTTCCTTGCCAAGATGCTTGGAAACTCATTGATAGAAGTGAAGAGGAATTTTGATAATTTCATGGTGAGTAGTCACAATACCTTACACATGATTCTCAATTTTTGAACTGCAGTCCAATTAAAAGTAAATTTTTGTCCCTCTGGACAGATATATTTTGCTGGGGCCAAACGGCAACCCGAATGATAGCATCGAAACATACCCTAATCGTATTTTAATATAAATAGTCTAGGACAGGGTTTCCCAAACTGTGGTTCGTGGACTGCCAGGGGTTCATGATGACTGCACAGGGGGTCCAAAAAGTCATGAAAAGAGTCTGATCGATAATTAAAGATTGATTTCAGTCAAAAATCCATTGCATTTTTTGGTTGAGCATTGTGGACAAATATCTATTGTTGTCAGAAAAGAGCAGTTAAAATGTCAAAATACAGGTCAAGACTTGCCATAGAGTGGGACCTACGAATTTGCTTGTCGCAAATTGCTCCTCACATCACACTATTGGTGTTTATGTTGTTGTGTTGTAAATAAAAAACGGACCTGAAATATGCGCACCAAGATGGCGCACAACGTGAACTCTGGTTGTGTACCAGGTTAGGATCCAGGTTGTGTGACATCTAGGTGCGCATACTTCAGGAGTACCTAAAAAACATTATCCCTCCTCGTTGGTTAGGCACAGACATTGATAGGACTCAAGATGGGGGTCCGTCAAAACTAAAATTGACGAATAGGGTTCAGCGGCCCAAAAAGTTTGGGGAAATTCTGGTCTAGGAGCATCCATTTTTGATCTCCTAAATCTTGTTGCACAATACATATAGATATAGTTTATTCTATTTCATTTATTATTATATGCAAATTCTTTCATATTTAGAATCATAAAATCACAGTGGTGCAGGAAGCTCATTTGAGCAAAAACAAAAAATGCGGGATTTTGCCTTTCGTCACTGATTTTGAAGATTTTGCTGAACTTGCAGAAAGTATTTTCAAAGATTCTCACAGGCGAAATGATCTCGATAAAGCTTATAAAGGATTGATCAAAGCTGTGTTTGATGCTAGTAAGTGAATATTATTTCACTCACAAAAAATATTTGAATACAAGGTTTAAAGAGATTTTACTAGATCCTACTACCTAGCTAACCTCTACTTTATAAAGTTGGACTATTTCCTGTTGAGAATTTGATAAAAATAAGTTTCCATTTTTCACTTTGAACAGGGCTCTGTTACAAGCAGCCCCTAAAACATACTTTACAAAGTTGAACTATTTTCGGCGCTCCAGAAGAATATGAGGGTAACTGATTTTGTGTGCCTACTTTACATCAAGTTGTGTAAAGGGACTGAAACATATGGGCAGGGGGAATATTCACTTGGCTAACATAGACAGTCCCCAAACTCGTAATAGAACTATAATATAGAAAATCGGAATAAAATTATGATCTAACCCTAACCTGGTACATTCTGCATTACCATTAAAAGTGCAACAAGTTTCAACTTTCTTAGTTATTCTTCTAAATTATATTTAGTTGAAAGATTGGCGATGGAAAGCTACAAAACACCAAGAGAAGTTGTTCTGTTCGAGAATTACCATAATCTTCACGACTTTCTCGCTCGCCTCAAGATCGTTGGACTTGAACAGGAACGAAAAGAAGCGAAAACAAAATACAACGATAACTTGCAAAATTATGTCAGTTCTTTGATGGGACGACCGCTGGAAAAATTGAGTGTAGGTATATTTTTGTCAGCTTGTTCACTAACGCTAAATCCGATAGTTAGGTGACGAATCGTTCCGTCAATTGAGCAATTATTCAAAATTATTTGAAAACCATGTGACTTGCAGTGAAACTTCGTTTCTCTGTGAAATACAAATGAGAAGGCTTTGCATTGATTTGGAAAGTAATGAAATTATCTCCAGAGTCACGTTTAGAGTAAACAGCATATACCCGCAGTCTCTTCATGTTTTCCATTCAATTTATTTCTAAATATTACTTTCTCATTTATCATCGAATAGCGTTACCGTAGAAATTTTTATACGAGTTTGCTCGAAGTAAAGTCGAGAGCGCTTGACTAAGTGTTAAGAAAACTGATAAAAGAGTAACGAGACATAAGAACTATTATACACAACATCTCAGTGACAGGGATTCCAGTAGATGTGACCAAATTTTCTGTCAGGTTATAGTCTTTTAAATACATTCTTTTTTAATATTGTAATATTAAATACATGCTTTTTTCAATACCTGTTTTCCTTGTCCGAAACTGTTCATTCTTTTTCGTTTGTTGTTCAATCTTTAATAATGGACCATTAGCGAGTAATATACGCCAGTCACGTTGGTTTTTGCACAGTGTGAATAGTATATAATGTGTGCATCAATATGCATTACAATTATTTGTCCCCGGGAATGAATCCTCTTAGTTGGGAAACCAGGGTTTAAATAAATTGCCAGAAATCTGTATTTTAACCAGTGGTGCATTACTTTGGTTTCATAGCTTTTGAATACGATTTACCATTATTTCCAGAACTTCTTTGAAGGAGTGGAACAAGTGATGGAGGGTGGGGTACGAGCTGAAGAAGTTAGCTTTCAGCTGAAATTCAGTAAACAGGAATTACGGAAATGTATCAAGGAATATACAGGGAAAGATGTCAAAAAGGGACTGGAAGCTCTATACCATAAAATAACAAAACATACTTCGGATAATGAAAACAGGCTTCAGCGGGTAAGTGTAAGGTTAGGGGATGACTAGGACTATGTAATATTTTAAAATGATGGTCAAGAATGATCAAAACAGTATTCTTAATGATTCAGAGATATCAAAAACCGAATAGTCTGTAGTTCTGAAATATTATTGGAGACTATAAAATGATCAAAACAAAGTAGTCTGCAATTCAGAGTGCTTTTTGTAATAATATTTTTGATTCAGAGGAAACCAAATAGTGTATAATTCTGAAATAATAATTCAAATATTTCTTCATTGTGTCCTATTTAAGCAGAGAAATTTGCATGAATCATCAAAAATTTAGAAAAATTGAATTTCACAGTAAACTAAAATAAATATAGGCCTGCGCGTTGCTGTATTGTATTTGTTTCTGTATTTTGCTTGTTTTTCCATAAGTCGAATACCTAATTTTGAATAAAAACTTGCCACAAATTTTGCTGTTTTTTCCCCATTGCATGACACTCTGTGCACTAATATAAATATTGGTTTGTCCCGCGTTTTTGTGACAACAATAGTCATTCGCCCCTGTGTCCATAGATTTCAGCGTTTCTCTCTTGTTGCTTTGTAGAAGTGATATCAATACTTTTTGTAATATTTTGATTTTCTTTGTATAGGTTGTCTGGCAATACATGCAGGATGAGTTTCTCCGGCAATATAAACATTTTGAAGATCTAATAAATAAATGTTATCCTGGTAGCGGAATGAAACTAGAATTTACGATTCAAGATGTATTGCAGTACTTCACAGACATTGCTCTATCACAAGAAAAATAATGTAATGATTGTGTTGGATGGAAAAATGATATTTTTGTCATTATATAACATAGTAATCAAGATACAATGTTTATTCTACTATTCGTTTCAATTATCTGCTTGTATGTTAATGTACACTGTATTTGTGCAATCCTGCTTAACAAGTTATGATTAATCACCTTCCTGTTGATGTATGGTTTAGTAAAACTCGTCATTATAAGACTAAAGAGATTCTGGTTTGTGATGTAGTGGTTCCCATGAAGGATTCAACACCATGCTTAGAGAGGCTTGATAAGATAAGACGCCTTCTTAGCTGAATGATTTGTTACGGCGCTTAGCTTAGTGTCGCATTGTTTGTCGTTGGCCAACAATATTATTTGTCTTCTAACTTACTTCATGAAAGCAAGCTACCGTCTCTGAACCGAAATATTGTACCTGAACCCTTCTGTTGTCGTCAGTTGCCCGCTAATTATTAACATAAGCGTATTGCATTGGGATGCCAAGATGCTGATCAAGCAAGCGAATTACAGATATTGTTAGCTTTGTAAATATGTAAGAGATAAAACATTGGTATCGCACTGGTGGGGTGAGGATGATGTTTAGCTGGGAAAAAAGTGAACTCACAGGAGTGCTAATCAGTTCTGTGCGCGCCTGAAGACTCTAAAACTCGGACCCTACTATTGCTGGTATGGTTTGAAAATAAGCAACATTCGTTTCCTTTTGTTTATTCAAGAAGGAAACTCCGTTACGCATGATATGCGCGGTAGCACCAAAACACTTTTGACATCGATATATATGTGGGCAGTAAAAAGACTAAACGTTACTCAGATTATCGAAGTACTACAAAATATCACGATACAAAGATAAGATAGCTATCTTCCATAACTATAAGTTTCATTCCACTGTAAATAAACATCTTAAAAATATACAAATATTAACTTAATTGCAAAAATCCGATATAAAAAATTCATTTGCACGATAATAATGCAAGATAGAATAAAATAACCGTGAAATATGGGTGTTAATTAAAGTCCGGGACAACAGTCGCCTCTCGTCCCGATTTAGAATGTTGGTATTTTGCAACTTGCGACGGCTCGAAATTATAATATTTACCGACAAAGACAAAAATGTTTGTCGTATTTTCGAGAGTATATTGCATACAAAAAGTGTCCCATAATAATGAAGAATGCCGAAATCAAAATGAGAAGTCCGAATTGATCCGGATGTGGAAGAGCAATTACCAAAACAAAGTGAATCATATCCATAAAATTGTTGATAGAACTTTGAACGCCGTTCACGACACCTCTTTCTTCCTCGACTACTTGTTCTTGGAAGAGCTGTGTAACCGACAAATCAAAAGTCCAAAGACCTATTCTAGCCAGAACTGCACCTGCCATAAGCATCGATAAAGATAAATAGGATGATGGTGGGTCAACGCCGTCCATACATTTGAGAAATAAACTTGAATTAGTTGTCCCAAAGAAATCTTCTCCGAAATTACGAGAACCCAAAGCAGGCCTTGTTGGAGGTTCGAATGAAGCTGTAGTAGAGACTATATCATGTTGATTTTGAGGAAGAAGAAAAAATGGGCTTCCTGGGGCAAACACGGAATAAACGCATGGTCCCAAGGTAATGATGTGTGTCACAGATGCAAACTGACCAGTGCGGATTAACCCAAACTTTTTACACACGGGTATAAAGGCAAATGTCGCGATAATTCCAGTAATTGCACTGGCACCCATGAGAAGACCGACAAAAAATTCACTAAAGCACTGGTTATAAGCGTAGGAAACAGTTATCGAATCAAATCCGAGCACAGTCATATAAAGACAGGAAAGTCCCAATCCAGCGAGTGCGACTGACTGGAACATAAAGATTCCCCACCCCTTAGGAATAATGATTATAAAATAGAATGCAGTTTTCCACCAAGAAGAGGATTGATCTGAGGGTTTCTTGGTTGTGGTGTTGTCTGTAGAACCGTAACCGGCTTTTTCATTTTTTGGGTGCGATGAAATTAGTGTCTCGTCATCAGCATCTGAGTCGTTACCAGGCGGTTCTTCAACAGAATCCGTATATGACCCTGAGGCCGATTCTAGCAGAGGTGCCTTATCGTCAGATGAAACAGTGTCTGATTCGTCCTTGATAGGTTGAAGAATTTTCTTACGAGCAAGCGCCGGAGTGTTTCTGTAAACGATTTGCAACATTATGTACTCTATGATCATTGAAATCAAGTTCCACCCTGCCACAAAAGCTATCCCGAAAGTCATTGATAACAGTGTAATTATCTGACCACAGACCATTGGAGCAATGAGTTTTGTGAATAGATCGATTCTTCGGAGCATTGAATTCAATCTTGTCAGTAATGCTTGGTCTCCGTCGGCTATGACCACAATCCAATCTTTTTCAATGATAATTCGGTTAGCAGTGTAAGCCAAATGTGCTATGGAGCCTAGAATAACAGCTGCTATTTTTGAAAATAGTAAATACCAATCTCCCGGCACAACTGCAAGCTTATTCACCAATAAAACTGCAGCACAAGCAACAATTGCGAGATCTTGTGAGATGACTCCAACACGAGCAGCGGGGAGTCGTCTGCTTCGGTCTATCATGTTTCCAATCATCGGCCCCAATATCAAAACCGACCCCGCTAATGACAGTCCGTAGATTGCCGGCAGAAGTAGACTATCCGATGCCAGGTCCATTAGAAACAGAGCAGCCGCAAATTTCCACATTCGGTCGCTCCATGTCGATAGAAAGTGACTGATATAAATAAGCCTGGACTTATTAACCATGGTTATTTTACTTAAATAATTTATCTGTATATAAAGCAAGTATTAGTTTTGCACCACAACTGTACGCAAAATTAGGCAATTCTACATATATATATATATATATATATATTATGACAAATTTTTTATGGGATTTCACGAATCATGACTGTATGAAATTAGAACATTTTATCATATTGAATGAAATGGATATTGTATGAGTATTTGCATTAATGTGAGATGTTACGTTCATACGGCGGCCCTAATTTTTATAATAGTAGGATGTGTATTGATGGTTATCTCAGAGAAAGAGTGCGTAATAAGTGTAATCAGCTTTAAACAAATTTCTATTTAGCAAGCTAATATCTCAGTTTTGGGCTTTCAACAGATCAACTAGAACTTGTCAGTTGTGAAGCTCCCATTTCATTTTCAAATAAAAAAAGTCAAAGAGCCTGAGTGACATATTATTCTATCAATTCTGCTATTGATCCAAATAAAATATCAAATCTAAAATATTTATTATAGCAGGGTATTAATTTCCAAGTGCTATATGTGACTGGTTTTCAGTAATAATGCCCAACTTTATTCACTTAAAATTTTCTGATTACTGAATGAGTCATCCAAGGCGTAGTTACAACGTATTCTGCACTTAAATGTAGCATTGTATACATACACAAGTTCTGCTCAATTTCATCAAAACACAGATTTGCAAAAACGCTTTGCGCTCAACAACTTCTGCCTCCGCATTAATCGTTAATTCAATTATTGTAGGCCTCGAACCACGGAAAGACATGAAAATCTTGTAATCGGAAGCGCAGCACACGAATTGATTCCGGTCGTTAACACATTGAAGGAATCGAATTTCTTCAAACTTATTTCCGTTGCCAGTAATCCGGAAAGAATTTAATTTTCCGGAGTAATCTGAAATCAACGAATTTGCTAGATTAACTGAAACCACCATTTGATTTTCCACATTTAAACGTGGCCTGTCGATAAACTGAATATATATAGCAGCAGGAAGTGTAGTCGACTAATGCATACATGCACCTTTCCTGAGTAATGACTTGATCATAAGTTAGTCATGAGGCGCTCTTTCGCATTGTTACTTCGTTTCCTCTTAAAAAGGCCTGCCCTAGTACAATGACAGATGCGCTCGCTGATGGAGCTATTATTGACTTCTAAAAGAATGAAACCAATGTTTGTCTGTTTTCCATGTGCCACTTAACAAACTATGACTTCCATTTAGAGGGAGGGTTTCCGAAATACTTTTTTCCTAAATCCCGGCTAATGCATTCTTTTTATCCAGGTATTGCTGAGCGATTTTCTGAAGCCCGCTAATAGGTATATATACCGGATAAAAAAAATACTAGTTACAACGGTGTTTTATCGCATATATTTTTAAATACTTCACGCAGTTCTTCAGTACAGTACTTCACTAATCTAGCCTCAAACACATTGCTTGTGGCCATTCAGATTATCGCATCTATTCTCAAAAACAACTAAGTGTTTCTAATCTACAAGCGCATCCAATGCAGGTTAATTAATTCTTTCCATAACTTTGAAATTTTTGATATCGCGTTTCTTTCGCCACCAATCACCCTTGTTCTCAACCAATCATTATAAGCAAATGCCGCTGGATTCACGACTTACCAGGGGAAATTACAGACATGTTTCAAAACACAGTAATATAAATAATCAATATATATCGTAATGTCCATAGCAATAAAAAAATAAAACTTTAATTGTGATGTCACGAACACGTGACCAAGATTATAATATTCTCCGTGGTTGGGCATGTATGATATAATATAATCATTAACGCGAAAGCACAAAATTTTGGTGAGCAGACAAGTTTCGAAAATGCAATGGTCAATGTCAGAGAATTTATCAATAAGTTGGCCAATTGTTTCTTGAAGCTCACATCGCGTTATCAAACGAAATGAGAAAGCGTTCTACTTACAACTCACGCGAACAAAAGTGCAATTTTTCAATTTCATTGATTGGAAACAAGATTAATATTCATTTATATTTAAAAAACACGCTTGGTATTGTATTCTGATGCACACAAACATCTTGACTTTCATCTATTCTATATCTTGACTTTTGTATAAAAATAGTAAATATTTATACGCGCAATCTGCTATTGTATACAGCCTATACACACGTATGAATGTATTTTAAGCTGACACAGATTTTAGAAACGTACGTAAAATTCACGCTAAAATCTAATCTCTTTCCCCCAGCCAATGTTACGAGATGGCCTGCTACCAAGTCTTGTATATTATACAGTCCTGTCACAGCCTGATACCTCATTAAAAGTTTTGGTGCGTTATGATATTTTGTACTATGGCGAAGTTCAAAATAAATATCTATCTATCCCACATCAGTACACACATTATTTAAAGCAATTAAAGTGTACAAGATAAGGCTCTGAATAAAATTACTAATTTATGTAACGGAAAACTGACATAGCTTGATCACTCGTTACGCCACAATTCATCGCAAGCAAACACATAGCTGATCAAATATACATTATTTACTTATTCGACTGCAAATGTTGTTCATCTGATCACGTGAGATGAATTAGCTTGCGTATTCAGGTTTGTGAGTGAGTGTATGACGCACTTGGTGAACAATTTCCAGGCATTTGACCAGTGTTATACCATGGCTCGTTTTTACTTTCTATCGTAGGCTCGCTTCGAAAATCGTTTCGTGGACGCCTGATTCTGGAGGGCACAACCCTTGTGGTACACACGAAATTTTGGCAAGATTTGTCGGTGTCTCGAAAATGTCGTATCCCACTTCTTCAACTCGGGACAAGTAGGACACGACATTTTTGAGACGCCCAGAATTTATGTGAGACTGTCAAGCTTTGGCGATCGTCTGTACCTTAGCGGAGTTTGAAATAAATTATTTAATTGAGTTTGAACCACAGGGCAAGTTGGGAAAGCGACTGATATTTTCCGAGCAACTAATTTTCTTCATGGAACCATACCCGATCAGCGCGTTACATGAAGTTTGATCGTTATGAATATCCGCCTGATGTCGAGTTAAAAGAAAGCGCTGCGCCGTTGCTGGGTAGACTTGCTGTTTCTTGGCTGGTATTCAATCTTTTAGATTTGTAAGTAGATACTAGTCCCAGAGTTAGAACCACAATATGACTTCATATAATTTGAAGGTAGCTCTGTGAATGCCGTAACAAGCTAGTTGGCGTAGTCATTGAAATCATGATGAACAAATCGAAGCTGATTTACGTCAGTCATTTTCTATCGGCATGGGGGGACCGGATGTGGAATTTTGCAGTTGCAATTTTTCTCATGGATCTAGCATCCGAATCTTTACTTTTGCCAGCTGTATTTGGCTTAACACTATCGGGTTCTGTTCTCATGTTTGGGCCGTTGGTCGGGGAATGGATTGATCGATCTCCTCGTTTACGTGCAGCACAGACGTCTTTGATCACACAGAACAGCACAGTTGCAGCGTGCGCTATCATTCTTCTGGTTCAGAAAATCGCCCATATAGAAAGTAATGCATTCCTTCTTTTTGTGAAGATAAGTGCAGTATTCCTGGGTGCAATTGCAAGACTTGCAAGTGTGGCTTCATCCATTATAGTTCAGAAAGATTGGATTGTGGTTATCGCAGGCGGAGATGAAACATTTTTAACATCGTTAAATGCAATGTTGAGGCGAATTGATTTGTGTACAAAATTTCTGGCACCTCTTGTCTGTGGACAACTTATTACTCTTGTTTCATTGACATTTGGATGTGCATTTGTGGCTGGATGGAACCTTGTTTCAATGTTTGTGGAGTATATTTTATTACGCATTGTATATGATCACACCCCAGCTCTTGCACTCAAGGTGAAGAAATCAAGAAAGTCTAAGAGGTCTGACGATGCTTCGAATAATCCAATGCTTGTTGATTCTCCAGATGCTGACGTGGGGGAAGATTGCACAGTGAAGGATGAATTACCACTTCAAGAAATAGATAATGTGTCAAAAGAAACTCTGGTTGAATCCCCAACTGCGAACAAAGAATCTGATAAAAATGACAGTGCAAAAAATGAAAATAATCAGCAATCACAGACATCTATTTGGAGAAAAATTTTCTCTTTTCTTTTGATCATTCCCAAAGGTTGGAAGCAATATATGTCTCAATCAGTTGCCAAAGCTGGAATAGGTTTGGCATGTCTTTACATGACTGTACTGGGACTAGATGCCATCACAATTTCATATGCTTACAACCAATGCTTCAGTGAGCTCTTGGTTGGCATACTTCTTGCAGTAAGTGGTCTGACAGGAATAGTTGCAACTTTCATATTCACACCACTGAGTGCTAAAATTGGGATAATCAAAGCAGGATTATTATCATCGGTTGCCCAAATCTTAACTTTGATACCTTGTGTGATGTCTGTATTTGCACCAGGTAGTCCCTTTTTTCTTTTACCTCAAAATAAAGCACTAGAAACAACTGCCACACCCACATTCACACCATATAACACAATTGATGAAAATATCACCATTTCAAACAATCATTCCTCTATAAATGATGGTGTATTTTTGAAATGTATGGATGGTATTGATCCTCCTCCATCCTATCTTTCACTAACGATGCTTACTGCAGGCATAGTGCTTGCACGAATTGGTCTTTGGGGATTTGATTTGGCTGTGACGCAACTCTTTCAACAACATGTTCCAGAACAAGAGAGAGGAGTTGTTGGTGGAGTACAAAGTTCCTTAAATTATTTGATGGATCTTATGCATTTTATTTTAGTAATCGCTCTTCCACAGCCAGACAAGTTTGGTATTTTAGTGATTTTGTCAGCCATTTTTGTGACAGCAGGTCATTTTTTATTTGCATTGTTTGCTCATAAAGAATTAGGGGGATTTTTATGTTGTTAAACCTTGAATACACATTCTTATTTTTCTATCTTGCCATTTGCACTTATTATGGTGACTAAACTTTATAGAATTGCTATTTTTTGCAGGAAAGTCGAGTAAACAGGCCTCTCATATTTATCCATTTGTACAATATTGCTATTAAGTATTTCTGTCAATCTTCCATACCTCCATATCTCATTTATACACTACACATATATTTAACAATTTTATTGCCTTTGCATTTATGTTTTTGAATATTGCATCAAGAATATGTATCACTTTAACAGAGGATATTGTATAGGATCACTGTTAAACTCGTGTCTGTAAATCATTTGATGATATTGCAATGCTAGGATAACCCAGCTGTTTTTCTTATTTATTGAATTCACCATATTCAAAATAGTGCCGACTGCTGTTATAATTATTAGTATTCCGGAGTGCCTCTTGTGACCAAAACTGCTGTAATTTGCTTTCCCATGACTACACCAAATAAAAGTTAACTCGCGAATGCACTGGTCTCGATCCTACTTGAAGCAAGCCATTAAGAGTGATTTTAGTGAGTGTCTTTTCCCAACAATCTTCAGAGTTTCATTATGGTAGATAAGCAGGCTGCTAAAGTTTTCCATTTCTGCTAAAGTTTTTCATTTTACATAGCAAAAAAAGTGGCAAGAACCTTTTCCAACCAATATTAACTGTCATTTAGCAGCTGATCCAAAGTTGGACTTTCAAATATTGCTATCCATAGCTTTACATCGGTTTTACAGTATTTATTAGAATCACCAAAATATAGATTCTTAAAAATAGAAAGAGAAATTGGCATAATACCACTCGAATATATCATTATCAGCGATTTGCATACATAATTGAGTAATTAAAACAATTGACACTGAATTAGAAATGCAACTAATCACATTATCTATTGACCCTCTACTAGTTATCATAAATTGAAGGCACACGTCCGTAAAAAATGCAAATTATTGAAAACTCATGGCTGAAATTGTTCTGAATTGCAAATAAAAACGGTGTTGCTGGGTAATATACATATACAAGAGTCCAACATAGCGGGTTTATCTTGTACTGTATGGTACTGCACTATATTCGACCATAATGTGATTTTTCGACCCCACGAGTGGTGAAACTTAAAAAAACAATAAAATGTTGACAATTGTACTTCACCAATACCCATGCTAAGAATTGTAGTAATAAGGTTTTAGTTCTATTCAATCCCCTTATTTAGACAAATCAAATTCTACCCTGAATATTGAAAACTATGCTAACACATTTGAAAAGAATACAAAAATGATTAATACACCAAAATTTAAAATTAAGCCAATCAAAGAAACGGTGAATAAGAAAAACGTAATGAAAATGATAGGTCATGTTTTCTTAGTAAATATGGTGGATTTGGTTAATGGAACAAGGAAAAGGAACAAAACACTGAAGGCCAATCATTATAAATTCAACGACAATTTGCTGACTCAAAGCATGAAATCCCACACTTGCAAATTAAAGACTTGGATGCTGTCAATATCAGTACCAGCATGAGTTGAATGGAACAGTTTATAATACACCCAAAGGCCAATGAGCTAAACCTAGTTTGAATCATTAAATATAGATAGTACGCTACTTCAGTACTATAGCAGGTTTCAGTATTGCATGTCGCGGATTCTATTATCACATCAGCTAATAATGATGAACATAGCTAGCTTTTAAGTCTCTGAACAGAGTATTTGGGTGAATGATTGTACAATACAATAAAGAAGAGGTACCGTATCACATAAAATGATAATAATTAAGCAATAATAAATTGCTACGATGCGGCCTCCTGAGTCTTTTGAATCTTACTGAATGGAACGGGACTTCCCTGAGCAACCCATGAATATCCACGACGTTGATTTTCATTGGATTCAGCCTGTAATATTAAAAAGTCAAATAAAATACAGAATAGGAAGAAAATAGTAACGCGACACACTTCAAGCTATGGATTGATATGAAATAATGTTAATCAGAGGTGCTCCAGAAGTATGCGCACCTTGCGCATCCTAATGAAAGACTATATCAAATCAGTCAAAAGCATAAGGTCAATCATTTCTGTAACACTTTTTTGATCAACCAATTCAATTTTCTTATCAAAAAAACTTTCGATCAATATTGTTTTTAGTGCTGATTAATAAGTAATAAAATATCATATGGAATTAAGAATTTGACATGTTTTATCTATATATGGATAAAGATACAGCAAAAATATCCTGAGCAGAAAAATGTTCCCCTCTAACAAAAAAAAGTTTTCTCATAGAACGTTAATTCTCCATCACTCTATAATACCCCAAATCAGGTTAGTTAGCAAAAACATGAAACTAAGACGCAAAACTGAAATCGCAAAAATGAGCAATATGAACACATTTTTTATTTAAGTCGGCAAACAATCACTCTTCATGCTGGCAAAACAAAATGATATCATATCACATCAAACATTTGTTTTTTTTTTGATATATGTCATTAAAATGAAATTAATGATATTAATTGGATTAATTAACTACTTAATTTTGAAATTCTTTCTAAACCTTGGGTTCATTGATGGTTTTTAACATCGATATTTTCCGACTTGCATGTAATTTTTCTTCGTGATGTATAAACCTGTAAAGTATGAAATTGGAATGATATTCATAATGCCAAAAATTCGAAGATTTAACAATTTATGTAATTGGATAGAATTTTCATGTTTATCCCAGATGGCTGATTAATATAGGCTTTCAGTAATCACTTATGGGTCAATGCACGTGCATTAACAAATAAGTGCATAAACAGCTTTTCTTTCACATGCATGGTTATGAGGAAGCTATAGTCAACCAGCGGGTACATGCAAGAGTGCTCCAGAAGTGTGTGTACCAATATGGACATAAATAATTTTGTTCGCCTACTTTACATCGGGTTGTATAAAGGGACTGAAGCCTATGGACAGGGGGTATATCACTTGGCTAACGCAGACAGTCCCCGAACTAGTAATATAACTAAAATACGTAAAATCTGAATAAACTTATGGCCTAACCCTAACCTGGTACACACACTACGGGAGTACACATGCAAGACACTTAGAACAGCTATCGTAAGTCTATTCCTAACGCATGAAAATCAGTGACCCAATGGTTCAGTCACTACCTCCACAACTCAGTTTGCACACAAACTTACAATAAAAACTCGTGTTTTGCACCCAAATTAATCTTTGACTAACTTTCAGCTGGGCTATTAATTCTGATCTTTTACAAACCTTAATTCATATGGATCGTCTGTTTTGGGTGGATCATATAAATGTAATTTACTGGCATCAATACTTTCAACTACCCTGGCTTTATAAGCAGTAAGTTCACTTTCATATCTGAAAAAAAAAATTCATATGTATATTTTGGAATAATCGACTTGGACAACGCCCCAAGTTGTGCCAGTTTGAAAAAAAAATGTCACTCGAAACACGTAACTTCTTTTGTCCTCGTGGTCTTAACAAAAAATTTTTGGTTTACACCACTGAATGTACCTGAGGACAGGTAAAAATGATCATATTTTCACACAAATGTGGTCCAAGCCCTATTTGTTACAGACAACCCCTGCCACCAAGAAGAAAACAGATTACAAACAGGACATAGTACACACAAGTGACTACTTTCTGAAAGCTTGACCTGAACAAAAGATGGAATTTATTTCATAATGATTAGTACTTAGTAGTAGTAGTATAACGTAGTAGTTTTTGGAATAAGTTACTAATAAACTAGCAGTTACCTTTTGTGAAGCTTTAGCTTATAGTCTCAATTCAAATAAAAAAATTTCATATGGAGTAATACTTGGGCACGTATACAACTCTTTTTATTTCATTGACATGTAAAAAGGTCAAAACAACATGCAAATTGTTTTGCATCATAATAATTTTCCTACTTACAATGCTGCTGCTTTAGTATTTAAAGGAAGTTGTGTATCAATTTTGAAAAATATTCGACGAAGGAAAAGAAGAACATTCCAAATGTGGTTGACATTTCGCCTGAAATACAGTATGTGATATAATTTTGACAATGTTTACTGATGGAACAAAAATTACTTTTCAACCTCAAAAAAATACATATTTATTCAGAATAATCAAGCACATCCGAGCATATCAGGCATTGATAAATGGAAAAAAAATCCAAAATTAAGAGATGATATTTTTCTCTAATATTAATTATATTGAATGTCTCAAAACTATTGGGATATATAAACATTCAAATCAAAACAAAATTTAAAATTATTCTGCTGGAAGTATGAACATCCCTGAAGTTTGTAGGGTAAAAATTAATTTGATGTTATCTGTGATATTGACATTATCCTTGGAGGAATATTTCAAATTTTTTCAAATACATTTAAAATAAAAAAAATCATACTTCCATTTTGGAAAAGCACGTTTCACATCAAGTTCAAAGGATTTTGGATCAATGAGAGGATGAAACGGTGGATTGTCGAAGACGATGCGCTGCAAAATAATATTCATCATAAACGTAATAACAGCAACTATAGATAGTGAGCTCTAAATAGTTCTTGGCATGCCTTTCGACACAGGCAGTAATAAGCACTCCTCGTAAGAATAAGCCCTGTTGAGAGAGAGAGACTAGCCATTGTCACGCAAGAAAATTTTTTTACAACTCGCATACTGACAGAGAGTAACAATTTAATAATATGTTGAGAGAAAGTCCATGCATCTGAAACTGGATAACTAATACACTTATCATAGGATAGGATTTACATATTTATCTCGAGGAGAGGAAAGCCGATAGGACAGCTTAATAATATGGTGAACCACGGCTGCTTTACCAGTCCCTGTCGGGTATGGGATCAGCTAGGCAGTTATTTGTTTTCGAAAGCATGGACTTGATGGTGGAGGAAGCCGTAATGGACCAGCGATTACGTGAACCACCCTTCGGCGGCGAGGAGTCCAGCAATCATCTCGTACATAACTATGCCCGCATGGGATTTTAACCCACGCAGGGTAATCAGAGGTGCAGTGGCAAGCATATTCCTAGCCCTTAGCATGATGCGCCACATTGCCGAGCCGAATTGATAACCCAACAAGAGGGCATGGTCAACCTTATAACTAAGTTACCTCATTGGCTTTCCTCTCTCTCAGGATATATTTGAAGATCCTGAGCATTACTTATAAATTTGAAACAAGTATTGGTTCCGAACTTTTTCTATTCTCAGACTATCTTATCAAAGAACGGATATAAGCATCATTAATACAAATAAATCTATCGTTTATTATGTAAAACCCACCGGGCAGTCACCATCTGGATAGTTAGCTGGTATCAGTACACAGAATTTGAATATTCCATCCTGGTATAAACCATGCCGTATGAAAATTACTCCAAACCAAACTGTAAATAAACAAAATTAGATAAATTAATGATTATATTTTCTTAAAGCAAAGATATGGACAAGCAGTAACTAACAGTTGCAATAAGTAAGATGGATATAATTCTTATCAACTTATTAATTCACTTTATTATGCCGGTATTATTTAGAAATAGAAGAAAAATCATATACATGAAACTTTAAAATGATGATTGTATTAAAAATTGAATATATTCATATTGTGCAGCCATTTGTATAGGCCTACTAGCCATTTATCTTAATATTTTAAAGGAATAGAATAAATATACTCACCTAGAGGAGATCTAGCAGATGGTATAACGTATATTCCTGGCAGATTTTGTTTTCTTAGCAGATTACTGTGAAATTAAATGTATTTTTTTACGCTCTGCTCATACTATGAAATTTTAGTATTATTGATTGGGAGAATGTAGAGTGATTATTACAATCCTTAGTTTTTGTTTCTGTTAGACTCTGTTCAATTGTTAATCAAATATATGAGAGCCAATAATAAGCTCATTTGCTCTTCAGTAGCATCTATATAATATTGTAATGAGTGTAACAAAATGGGAAATCACTTGTACTGGTTATGCTAAAGCAGCATATTGCTTATTTATGCAGAAATGCAATAATTACCACTAACTCCGTACCCTAACTTTATAAAACTGCAACATACAATCGATAGAGCCATCTACTTTTGCTGCACAGTTGGCAATCAAAGCAAACAATATTATACAAACAAAAACTATTATGGTACTAAAATTTACTTACTATTCTGCCATTAACGAATATTCCAGAAAGAAAGGTCCATATGTTTGATGTGTTGGATTGTTGATGTTTTGCATGGGCTGTGGAGGTAATACTTTACGAGGCGGAGTGGCCATGATGCAAATATATGATAAAGTAATATATATTATATTACATCTAGAATGATAATACATGGAAATAATGTCGTGCAGCAGGTCTGTCATTTCAGTTATACAATTGCAAATTTTGAAGTTATCCTGATTGCAGTGGTTGAGTACCGTAATCCGGCAGTTGCGCTGTTTTGGACAATGAATAAAGCAGCAAATTTATCTCTTTCTACTAGCCTGACAACCTTGCACTGCTGTAAGTGAGCATTGTCTTTCAGTTATGTACATATGTAGATACCGTAACTGTTTAGTCAAAGGCTAGATCAGTGGTTCCCAAACGATTTTTAAAAAAATTCTTAACGGACCCCTTGCAATTTTTTTTATTGCTTACGGTACCGGACTTGTGCACTAAACCAATATATTAAAACAGTGTTTTCCAGCCCGAGTCCGCGGTCTCCAATGAGTTAAAATTTTCTAAGTAAAAGTAGAAAACAACAGCGGTACCGTAATATAAAACATTTGTTAAGCTAGCTGAGAATCACGAAATTGGAACTGACAGAATCCCAGAAAATCCCCACGCGTAAAATCTAATGCTCCCACTCATTTTTTAATAGAAGTTGTAAATTTTGGTTAGTTTTGCAATAGCAGAGAGAGAGAGAGAGAGAGTTTATTCCATTTTGTTAAACGGTTAAACTAGGAAAATAATGCATACATATATAAAAATTAATTTCGATGTCAATATTTCGATACCTCTCATGTTTGTTTACTAAATACAATATTAACACGTCTTTCTTATTTTCTATTATAAAAGCGAACCTATGGTGTATTGTGGTTTCAACTAAGGTAATCTGACATATCTTGAATTTGTATTGCATAAAAACTAAGCAAAACTATAAAAATGATCAAAACAAAATAGATTGGTATTCGAAGACATCAATTATTCGATCAACTCGACGGTGTGGCTCAACGGCTCGGCGGTGTGGCTCAACGGGCTAAGCGTTAGGAATACGCCCGCCACCGCACCTCTAATTACTCTACGTGGGTTCGCAGGTTCGAATCCCATGCAGGGATGGTTATGTGCGAGAGGATTGCTGGACTCCTCGCCGTCGTTGGGTGGTTCACGTAACCGCTGATCGGTTACGGCTTCCTCCACCACCAAGTCCATGCCTCCGAAAACAAACAATATAACCGTAAATATATACTACTACCCCCATACCCGACTTGGAATGATAACCGGACGAGAGGCCGTGGTTCGCCATATGGATAAGCCGTCTTATCGACTTTACTCTCACCCGGGATAAATATGTAAATCCTATCCTATCCTAACTTGAATACTTATGAAAGCATGTAAGTTCAAACTTGAAATGGATAGAATTTTGAACATGCAAACATGGGTTTTAGTCTACTATATATATGCATACTAGTGCAATATAATCAGAAGCACGAGTTGGATCATCTAAACAAATCAGGTTTTGGATTACACAATACATTTCTCTGGTCAAAGTCATTCATGCAAATATTGTAGTAAATGGTAGACTTCGTATAAATGTAATATTCAAGATTCAATATAATCAATATTGAAATATCAATCAAATGAATGAAAAAAACAGAACAGTTGACAACAAAGTAACCTTAAAGGGTTGGCTTAATATAAAGAAAAAGAGGATGCAACATTTTATAAGACCATGTAAAAGGATTATGGACACTTTGAATATAAACATTGAAATGGTGTTGCACACAGAAATTAGCAAATAACGTAAAACAATCAGTGGCTACACTAATTAGGCTTACCATATATCTGGAACAAAAAAACGGGACGGTACGGATCGGACTAACTTTGGTTCGATTCTGAGGTTAGTAATATCTGAAACTTCTATCATATCTTTGCGAGTAGATACCGAGCGTTAAATTAGCTATAAATCAATTCGTACGCGCAGTCGCCAAACATTATTTATGAAAGCAATCCAATTATTTGAACATTTCAATAATCGACATATGAGAGACACCTGCGGTTGCCCCACTGCAATAGTTGTACCCATAATGACAAAATGATTTCTGCTCTGTTACTTGAACAGTGTAAGTTTAAAAAAATTATAAATTTTGACAACAAGACTCTATACTCAAACGGGCAACGTAACCACGGAATGATGTTGAATTCAGTTTTAAGGTAAATGAGACGCAAATCCTATGCCAGTCTCGTAGAGGCTCGTTTCAGTTTTATTTTCGAGTTTGAAAAAAACATTATTGTGTCTTTCTACGCGTCCATTTGGAATTTTGATAATCTATTGACAGGTCAGTTAACGTTGTGTGTCGAATTATCGCAATTAACATAATTATAACACCTATGACACAACAAAACAGCAGTTTTCTCTCCCTCTGTTAACTAGTGAATCAGAGATAAATTGGATGCTTCCGTTAAGAAAATAACTTTGTAATAATATTATATGAAAAAATTGTTTTTGACTGCCACGCTACATAACCGGGACATTTAAGTCTACCGGGCGGGACGCCGGGACAGCTTGTCAAAATCGGGACTGTCCCGGTTAAACCGGGACGTATGGTAAGCCTAACACTAATCATTCTGTTAATATATAGTGGACACGCCGAAACGACCGTAATTATGCTTAATAAAATTGCATGAGTTATTCATAAAAAACTAAATTTTCGCATCCCTTCCGTGGTGAAATCAGAGCCTTTATATGGCTCTGGTAAAATTGTATTTTCTTACTTTGGATACTTTCTTGTAACTAGAAGTGAACACTGCATGCGCGTGGACATTATATGTAATATGTCAAAATATGCTGGCTGAAATTCCTGAGGCCTCTTGTCGTTGTCCGCTACGGTAACCAGTCCCTGTCGCGTACAGAATTAGCTAGCTTTTGGCCAGTTACCTGTATGGATGTTTCCTCGAGCATCGATTACCTTGTATATATCCGTAACAAAGACCAACCAATTCGTCAACAACATCGTAACTATTACTGCAGCTGCTCGGACACTTCTTTCGCCAGACAGATATTCAAGCGTGGTTGTAAACATTGCCCCCATTTCGTAGTTTTGCGTGTTATTTGTTAGTTTTCGAGGTTTTTCTCAAAAATTAGTTGCAAATCAAGTAACCTAATTGTCCTTATGTTTTCTAAATTGGTTTCATTCAGCAAGTCATGATGATATAATTCTTATCAATAACGTTTGTTTGATTTCATCTGCTTTTCAATTCAGCAAACAAGGTGTCGCTGACACGATGACTACCGTCTTCCGCGGTCCCGCGTAAGTTGCGGAAATATTGTATGTTTTTGTTTATTTTATATTTTTGTATTTGCTTAATTTTGTCTGTACAATGTATTATGCACGACGAAATAAATATCTGAATTGGCTATTAGTACTTAGAAGCTGTGTGCGAGTGTGACTATTTGATACACGGAAAGCTTATCATACTAGGCCAGCGGTTCCCAAACTATGGAGCGGTTCCCAAACTATGGGTCGCAAAAGGAATGAAATTAAATTGAAATTCTAATCTCTCAAAGTTTCCTTTTTACGATCTTCTCAAAGGAACAACAATTTGCAACACAAAGAATGACCATGTGGCTTTTTTACGCATAACAGTTTTGTACACTGTACAGCACTTCTTACTAGAGCTAAGATCTGAAGCCCGACCCGACATTTCGGGTCGGGTTTAATACCCACGGGCCCGTGTCGGGTCGGGCTGGAATTTTTGGGCCCGATCTTACCTCTACTTCTTACCATGTTCCCCGAAATTTAGACAGGATTTAGATTTTTTTTAAGCATAACACTATGTTTTTTTTGGAAGAGGTCTTTTGAGTTCATTTATCAAAAATAAAATTACATTGTAGAAAATCACGAGATTTTTTAAAACATAAAAACCGACATCCGTTGTTTTTATTTGTATTTCCTATACAAAAATCAAATAACAAATATCATAGTTATAATTGTGACATCACCCAATCTTAAATAGTGGCGTGATTTTCACCTTACCTCAGGTCATTGAATTTTTCCTCTTCCACACATTTTAAATTTATTTTAAGGGTAGGGTTCAATTAAAATCATTTATAAAATTCAAACTATGTCTTATTTTCAGGCCATGTCTTATTTTCGAGCGAGCACGGTAGTTTTACGATGATTAGCCATGGCTGTGATCTGTGTTATGTCTTAAAAAGTTAAATGGGTCGCCATACGCTGTGGTAGTAAATAGTGGGTCACAACTCTAAAAAGTTTGGGAACCACTGTACTAGGCTATTTTCGTGAACTAACCGAAGAGAAATTTCACCAAAACTCGACGGTTATTCACATTCAATTGAATATGAAGGGATTGGTGGAATATTTTCAACAGCTGGCCCCATAGTTGAGCTCACTAGAATAAATTTTTTGAATAATCTGCATCCTTCGCCTTCTAATATGAAAAAATGATGCAATCAAATTGAAGGCAAATCGTAATACTATGTTATGTTGGGTGGGCCTACAGTGACGAGTGATACATAAAAATCTGTATGATATACTGTATAGTAATATCCGATGAATTAAATTTTACATTCTGCATATATAACATCTTGTTGGAATGGTTAGAATTAGATGATCGAATTCGAACATCTTCTCCGTGAACAAAGACCCTTCTCAGCATTCATCTGGCATTATTATTATTTCGAGATATTTATCATGCGAAGCTTCATGCGAATTAGATAATAAGTATACAGATTGATGTTCGATCTGAACCTAGACGCTTTCAAAAATCACATATATATACAAGCAAACTTAAACTCGTTGTATTGCGTGTTCCTGCTTCCGATAGGGCCTATACGCCTGACTCAACGGCGCCCTATTAGGAAAGGAATTCCCGTGTTCGAGACAACAATGTGATCGATACGCCTTTTTCTTCATGTCACCAAGTAGAAGATAAATTTGAATCACGTCGTTCACTACGATATTGACGGGAAATTGTCACACCGAATTGTCCCTGCAAACATGATCCTTTTTAAATAACTCGCACATTTTTAAACGAATAGCAGTCGATTCATAGGATTGGTCGTAGGCCCTGCGGAAATCACAATATCAAAACAAATGTTAGCAGTAAACTACTTTATCAAAAAAAGGACTTCAATTACGCCCCTGGCATCATCATACAAATGGCTGAATTAATTAATATAAATATCCAACATATTTTTTATTGCGATCTACAACTATAAAACATACGCAACTATCATCTTAAGTCGTGCCATCTTCCATTTCCATAGTTATATAAATATGAATATATAAAAAACCTTTTTAGATTTGTATGAATTTTTCTAATTATATATCACAGCTGCGATGAACAATTTCAGTTCTGCCAATATATCAATAGTGTGTTCTGGACACTTGTGGGTGAATTGTTTGCACCCAAAGCACAAATCAAATACCGTCGGCTTTCAAAAAAGTCTCTTCCCAAATATTTTTTGTTCATGCGAAATCCGGCCACCGGTCACCATTGAAAAGTTGAATTCACATTCTCTGGGTACTCTGACAACCTGAACATTTGGTATATATATATAAAAGTAATTAATGTTATTGCAGTAATGGTTAGTTCAACCCAATATTGAATACATATTAATATATTATACCTTATATTTTCGTAGGGGGGCGCAGCCAGGTTTTTTATAACTTGTGTGTTTGCGGAATGTCTGTCAACAGTTTTGACGTTTCCAAATCAGTTCAACATTATTTTTCTGAGTGATCTTCAGTAGCAAATACGCTAAACAACATGATGACTCACTTTGTCGCTTTTAAGAAGCCTTTAAGTGGGATTTGAAGTAGGCCCGAAAACTGTCTCTGCATCGAGTAAATTAGATTCATTTTTACATTCAAGAAATTCCGCTTGACAAGAAAGTAAACGCAAAGTGGCACTTGCTATCTTTTATACAATAACTTCAAATGATGATGGCTTTTAACATCGGTTTTCCACACTTTGTGTATTAGGAACAGTGTGATTTATTAAAGCTCCCAATGATATGAGAATTGGTTTTGCTCTTATGTGACCATGTCAGATAAATTTAATGAAATAGGGCCAGTGTAGCCAAGAAGTAAAATAAAATATGGCATCAGAGTTGTAGACTAGTTGTCGTATAGTGTGTAGTGACATGGAGTAGGATTACTTAATTTGTTTGAAAATATTTTCATTTAAAAATTCAAGCTCATCGTGAAATTCGTATTTTATTGTAAATAAACAAATGTAGAAAACTATGGGAGCATCGTCTTCTAGTTCCAAGAAATTAAACGAAGAACAGCAGAAACGAAAAAGACTGTTACAGCAACGTAAAGTAACTAATGATATTTTAGAAAAATTGGCAAGAAGTTTACCGCAAGTACCGAATCAACTTGGAAAAACTTTAAGGTATTCTACTAGGAGAAATTATCATAGCAAAACTTCTTTATCATTTTGGGATTTTTTTAGAATCATGCTACGAATCACTAATTGCTTTAGGTAGCTTTATAAACGATGATAGTCAAGGGAGTTAAAATATACAAACCATTTAGTTTAACTGATAATTTTAGCGTATTACCTTTGGAACTTGAGTAGTTGTTTTGATTATAAATTATCGACATAGAATGAAACTCAATAGAATTTTACTTATTTTATTGAAGACTCTTGATATGCCAAGATCAACTATTTAGTAATGCATACAGTAACGCAAAAATGCTTAGAACCTCCTGTCGCAGAAAAATCAGTTTTTAAATCATACTGTGTATTGGGCAGTAGCCCATATATGATGCAGCTGGTAACAGAGTTGTGCTAATACGTGCCTGAAGCTCAGTTCGTTAATCGGCATTGTGACGGATGGACCACAGCGCTTTTGAACAATGTTATTCTGCTTTCAGGCTCGACTCCGAAGTCATAAAAGAATTGGAATGGAAAGGAAATCTTTCCTATCTTGAGAAATGGAAAATATGGAAGAAGGATGATGCGACAATAGGAAATCTTATTACTTTACTCAAAGATAATGGAATCAAGTAATTCATTATGATATTATAGAAAACAGTTTACTATATTAGAAGGTATTATCTACTTCTATGACATGAACGTCCGACTGAAGTAAAACAGAGGGTAGTGTACCAACCTACAAGAAAGGGGTGCTAAATACATAGACACGAAAGTCGCACATAGGTACCGGAACGCCTTTGTTGAAAAGATCGTCGGACAAGACTGGTGAAATAAGCAAGGAAACCTCACTAATCACAAGAATGTAGCAAAACAATCTATATTATATGTACAGTTCGTGCTCAATAACTGAAACAAAAATCAATATCGTGAGCATAGATACCGTAACTTACGATGTTAATTTTCTTAAATGATCAGCATATCAGGTAGGTGTTGGCGTTTGTTTTGAGATTTACCAGTTATACGATATATCATTTTCTGGAAAGTGTGCATTAATGTCAGAATGCAAATTCACTTGATGTAAGTACTTATATAGTTGCGTTTTCCGGATATGAGGGAGACTTAGATCTTTCTCGAATTATTATTTGTTTTTACATGCAGAGAAGATGTGTGGGAATGCTTATTCAATATCAGCCGAGAGCCCAAGAATGCAACTACAGCAATGGAATTGACAGATACAGTTTTAATGGGAAATTCTCTCAACCATTATGAATTCTCCAGGAAACCAAGCACTGCTTGCAGAGTATCACCTCTTCACCTCCCAAGTTTGTTAAATAATTGTTTTGTATTTGTACTACATCATTATATATATATATATATTTGTCGTTTCAGCTGAGTTGTATGAGTTTGGTCGTCATCTTTGGCATATTTTATTAAAAAAAAGTAAATAAGACAGAGAAATGCCATATAGTGATTGAATATTAATGCGAGTTTCAATTTAATTATTGAAAATCTCATATTTCGTATTAAACCACAGAGAAATTTTGACAGTAAGTAAGATTTCTGAAGCCAATACCTTTTATATGTTAACTCGACTGTATTGCGATTTTGGTTCTGCTTAAATATGTTCATATGCTAAATACTATTCAACTGGGTTATTTAGTAAACAAATAAAAAAGTTATTGCATCTTTTCAAATGTTCTTGGCAAAGTAACCAGTGTAGTTTGGACATCTTAGCCCAGAGTTTTATGATTTTTTTATTTCATAAAGTACAGTCATATTTTTACCTTTTCAAGTTATTTTGCATATCAACATTAAAAATCTAGTTCAAACGTTTAGATGAAGTGTTCCCCGATCCATCTCTGCAACAGACAACGACCTCAGCAAGAATCTGGCACAGAGATATCACTACAGCAAGTAGAAGAAACCCAACACAAAACGGTGTCAGACAAACTTCTCTTCATCAGCGATTAGATCAATATCCACAAGAGAGTCTCTTAGAAGATATTTTAAGAAATCACGACAGACGTTCTTCCGATAGAGGTATAATTACCGTATAAATACAAAATTTTAGCATATTGTAGAATTCGTTTCACAGAAACTCATCCACTTAACAAGTATAATAATCTGTACATATATGGTGAACTCTTTGGCTCATTTTGTCAAGCTGCCAACGGCCAAAATAGTAAAATTTTACGTTTGTGCAATAGATCAGTATGACAATAAAATAAATAATATTTTTAAATATTTGCAGACTGTTCATTGGCCGACTCAAAATCACCTCTACCAAAAGAATCAAGTCTTCATGCGAGTGTGGGAAACTCTCAATATTAGAAACTTATGAATTCACTATATTTTGTTATCCGTCTATGCAACCATACATTCTCTAATAAACTGGCTCGTTTACGCCATGAAAATAATTCAAAAGATATGATTTTAATAATCCTGATGATTTTAGTTCGTTCACAAATTCAGGCAAATAAATGTCGAACAAACTTCGCTACCATATTTCAACGTGAATATTCTCTCTCCCATAGAAAACAGCCGGCGCGTTGACTTCATTGATAAATATATTTGGACCCAAGTTTCGGCGGTACCACAATGAGAAGCTTGTCTAACTGTGGGGAATCAATCACCGTAATCCATTACTACTGTAGAACAAATCCGATACGTAGCGAAAATGCTGCATTATCACTTTCGATGCCAAGGACGTATATATATATTTTTTTTGTTTCGGATCAGAGTATGTATGGTCTGCCTCGGATCAGTGTTACATATAATAACACGTCATACCCGAGTCGTATCGGTATTAATCCTCGCAATCACATTGCCGCATATGCGGCGGTCAGATGGCATCCACTCATCACTTCCGTTGGGTTGTTTGATGGTATTCTCAGGAGTATGCTACCATTTGTGGGTGGCATAGATAAAAGGTTCATTACATTTATTGTTGTTAGGATCTGGTTTTCTCGTTATTTTATTGTTCGTACCCCGCAAGTATTTCTTTCCAATTAGGTTTCAAATTGGATGTGTATACCTTGGGAAATTTTTGTCAAGTTGGTTGATAAAATCGGACCATTTTCGAGTTGTTTTGGGGATAAGTTTGTCCTCGCTCGGATCGACTGTTCTATTTTCTATATCTAACTTGATTTTGAAGTTGAATATTGCTAATTTGAATATTAAAAATAGTTTTATGGTTATGGTCTGAACTGTCTGGTTGGGCATGGTGTAAGAGTTGTAGAAGATATTTTCTTTAGATATTTGTACTGGTATTTTAAGGGTCCTGTTCAGTTTGCCCGTGGTTTTGGAAAGGTGTCGTGAAATGTAAGAGCAGTGTAAGAAAATGTGTAGGGTATTGTCTTCACGGCTTCCACAGAATTTGCATTTTAGCAGTTTTCTTTGGCCGTGCGCATCGCTAAACATAGATCTTTTCCGCGCTTTATTCCCTAAGATGTACCCATCAGCCACTATTCTGTACGAACATATCTTCTCTTTGTTTGTTGTTTTATGTTTCAGAGTTCTTTGCTTTACGTGAACGCAAGTCCAATCTATTCCCGTTGGGTATGGAGACTCAGTTTTCATGTTGTATAGGAGATTTCTGTATATGTCTTTGTGCTTCATGCCAGCCCACTGTTGTTTGGTAAGATGTATTCCCTTTGTTGTATCCAAATATTTTTGCCAGATTTTGGGGACGAAGGGGAGATGTGGGGTAGAATTTGTATATAAGCTTGGGTTGTTTTTTATAATTTTGGATCCTAAAGCATAGATTGCTTCCTGATGCCAAAAAAGGTAAGGTGTATCGATATTGCTTAGTATTTTTATTCGCTCTGCTATACATGCTGAAATTTTAATTTTGATATTGGGCATATTTATGCCGCCTTCTAACCATGGCCGTTGTAGCGTGGTTCTCTTTATCGCCTCCATTCCCTCGGGGAACCATAGGTATTTAGCAACTAGGTGTTGTACCTTGTTGAGATATACTGGCGGTATTTCTACAAATCTCGCGTGATATATTATTAGTGACATGAGCAGGGAATTTATTACTGTTAGTTTTCCAATCCAGGTGAGTTTTCGTGTTTTTAAAAAGTTTAATTTTCTGGTTATTTTGACAAGTGTTTCGTCCATGTTATTGTTTCCCGCCCTAATCCATAATATATCCCCAAGATTTTTGCTGTATGTTTATGGTGGGTATTATAGTTGGATTTCCGGAGACGTTGTGCTGCGTCAGTTGTGAGACTCAATATCTGGGTTTCATCTATATTAATTTTTTGTCCTGCTGCTTTTTCGTATTTTTTGTAATTCAAAGAAGATTTGTTGAATGGAAGTTATATCTCTCACTGCGCAGGTGGCGTCATCGGCAAATTGGTCCAGTTTATGTGTGAATTTTCCAAGTTTGATGCCATGTATGTCGGAATTTCGTTGTGCTGATCTAATTAGTGGTTCTGCGTTTAGAATGTATAACAACATGCTCAATGGGCATCCTTGTCGAATTGATTTTGATTGGGGAGCTCATTTTACCGTTAATATCTATGTAGTTGTAAATTTCTTTGTACATGTTTTTGACGATATTGGTTATTTTGGGGCTGAGGCCGATTTCGTGTAGTACTTTAAAAAGGAAGTCATGGTCTATTCTGTCGAACGCTTTCCAGTTGTCGATCATTACTAAATATCCTGGAATTTGCTTGGTTTGACAGTAGCGGACAACCGCTTCTAGGTTGTAATGGGCATCAAATATACTTCGTCCAGGTAAGGTACTCTTTTGCTGTTGGCTTACCAATGTGTTGAGTGGAGATTCTAGTCTTTTGGTTAAAAGCCTTGCAACCAGTTTGTAGTCAAAGTTGAGATTCGAGATCGGTCGCCAATTTTTTAGTAGATTTTTGTTTCCCTTTTTAAATATCAATTTCACTCTGGCATAGTGTGAGCTTTGCGGTAGAGCGCCGAAGCTCAGGATAATATTAATCATATTCGTCAATTTTTCTTTTATCATGTGCCAAAATGTTGTATAGAATTCTTTGCTTAGCCCGTCAGGGCCGGGGGATTTATTATTTTTCATATCTTTTATAATAGAGAATATCTCGTCCTCGTTTGTGGGTTTTTCTATCTCTTCGTTTTGATCTTGGCTGAGTTGTGTGGCGCTCATTTGATTGATATAGTGGTGCTGGTGAGATTCGTCTATTTTACACTTCATGCCCCATAGCTCGTTATAGAAATCCTCTACCGCCTTAGTTACTTCGTTTTCACTTGTAACTGTCTTCCCGTTTACATTTTGGATAGAATCCATCGTTGTTTGTTTTGCGCGTGTTTTGATCCTATCATAGAAGTACTTCGTTGGTTCTTCACCTTCTTCTTGATCTTCTATGCCCGCCAGGATTGTTTTATAATTGGATTTGTTGTCAATCAAGTTTTTTAGCTGTACCCTAAGTCTTTCCAGCTTTCTTACGTCTGTACTATTCTTGTTGGCCACTGTATTCGCAATGTTTTGTCTTATCAATTGTTCAGTTATATTGTCTTCTTTTGCTTTTTTTATTGAGTATGCTATAGTTTGTTTTTTGGTGTTTAGTTTAAAGTTGTCCCACCAATCTAGTAAAGATTCGAAACTTTCAATGTTTATCAAGGCCCTATTATATGTATTTTTTATAATTTCCAAGTAATCTTTTTCTTTGTATAGCGAGATATTGTTCCGCCACATCCCCCGACCCCATCTTATATTTTTCAAAACTCTGAGTTTAATATATGGGCATAGAGCGCGATCGGCTACGGTGTTCACGGCATGTCCTACGTATGTCTTTACCATTATTGCGGTGCCCTTCCTGAAGGTTTTGTCTTCGGGATCTAATACGGTAAGCGTGTTAGGGAAAATGTGGTAACCCAGTTTTCCTGCCCACTCTTCCACTATGCTGTTTCTGATTTTATTGACCTCCTGTAGGCATAGAATGTCAGGTTTTTCATATGATACGAATCGGGCTAGTTTCGTTTTATGATGGTTAAGCCCGTTTACGTTTATTAATATGATTTTCATTTCGCTCATTTTAGTAATTTAAATTTAACTCACGTTTTTGACTTCCCTTTGTTTTGTTTCGAGATCCTAGGTACATCCATAATTTATATCCGAGTTATAATCCTTATTTATATCCTAGTTATGTCTGTGTGGTTCGTTTTGTATCAATTATCTTTCCTGGTGTCTTTTGATTGGTGGATTGGTTGCCACAGTCGATTGTTTATGTCTGTGGGCGCTCGGTTGTGGCGGTGGCTTTCTCCTTCTTGGGGTTAGGCGGTGTGCACGAGGATGATGCAGAGCTCAAATTAAGTCTATCTCGTTTATTTGCGCCACTGGCTTGTCCAATTGGATTGTAGTCACTGTTTCCCAAATGAGCGGGGGCCGAGTTATTAATCCACGTATCAGAAAACGAGGAAGAGTCAATGGATTCGTATCCTCTAACCATTCCTTTTACGTATGATTGTCTTGTCATTTCATGTACTATGGGGGTCTGTCCGATTGTTGAAGTTGGTTTTAACTTTCTTCTAGGTGTTCTCGGTATGTCCAACGGTTTCTCTAACTGGGAGTCGTCTCTGCTCAGAGACCAATCTTTCGTTTCGTCGTTTAAGTCATCGTTTTCGCAGTTTGAGGAGGTTTCGTTATCGCTTATTGCTTGTGTGCTCTCCTCTTCGGTTTGTGGTTTGCTGTTTGCCTCTTCTCTTAGCAATGTTGAGGATAGCGACGAAAGGCACATGCCTGCATTAAGTTGTGGTACGTTGTGACGGTTTGTATTTATCCCTGTTTTGTTGTTAATATTAGCGGTTCTTTTAGATATGTTCCAAGCGGTTGGTTCTTCCTGATTGTGTCGGTCGATACGTTTTTTGCATTGTTTTACTAGGTGTCCTTCCTCTTTGCAGTATCTACATACCGGTGTATTCTGACATGCGACGAATGTATGGCCCTGTTGTAAACACCTGCCGCATGTCGGAGTGTATAACTCTTGCGGGAGATACGTTTTGCATCTTATTCCATCGAATATGATATAGTCCGGTAGTTTATCCTTGTTAAAGTCTGTGATGAAAAAAGCGGTATAACCGTTATATATTTCCGTGCCTTTGTGCCAGTTTCTCATTGCGTTTTTAATTTTGCCGCATTCTAGGTTGTTTATGATTGCCGCGGCCCTCGCAAACGGTGTTTCATCGGGCATGCCTTTGATTGAAATTCTTGTCGGTGTACCTGCGGGTAGCATGAAGTGGATAGGCCCATACATTGAATTCAACTTGCCACCGGTTGCGCTTAGGAACTCATCCCTGCAACTAGACGTTTCGTTTGATGTAGGTTTAAAGAATATTGTCCAGAGACCTCTTCTCACTTCAAATAATCCTTTTATTTCATTGTAGTACTGGTTGACATCGGGTGTTGTTTTTAAAACTCCAAGCAGTCCTTCAAAATTTATGTTGTCCTCCGTCTCGATCATCAGAGATCGCGGTCTGTTATTACTTGGTGTGGTCATTACTGGGGGTATAGCGGCGACTTTTGCGTAGGCCATAATATCCAAAGGTATTTAGACTATCTTGTAATTCCAACTATAACTTGTTCCTAAGGCTTGATCTTAGCCGAAGAGCCGAAGATCGATACTCAGGTCTAGCTAGCATACGACCTACTACTGATACTACACTTGATCTTAGCCAAAAGGCCGAGAAGCGATAACTTGTACTCTGTTTTTGAATGCTTTATGTTGCTGCAGCGAACATAAGTCCCCATTCAAGGCTGAACAAGTGGGAATCAACAACAACAGCCGAAATATATGTTCTGATCGGTCTTCTTCTAAACATGGGGATTGTGAAGCTGCCAGCTTCACATCTGTACTGGAGCACCATGGAGCCTTACAAAACAAATATCTTCATACAAGCCATGAGTCGAAATCGATTTCAATTGCTGTACCAGACAATGTTACATTGCTGCACAAGCGACGAACAAAACAGAATTAGAGGGGACAAAATAGATCCAATTGTCCAACAATTAGTATCAACGTTTCAGAGGTATTTTTGTCCTTATTTTTATTATTATATTTTAATAGCAGGCTTCGACCCACCATACTTACCGTGTTTTATGCTTCGTCTTTTCAGGTATTTTTGTCCTTATCAAAATGTATCGGCCGATGAAACCATGATTGCATATAAAGGAAGAGTTTCATTCAGAAGATATATGCCAAACAAACCGGTTAAATGGGGCATCATTGCTAGATCGATTGCTGATTCAACAACTGGATACATTTTCAATGTAAAAATAGATTATGGTAATCCAAACTTGGAACAACTTCCACCCGGCGTCACAAAAACTTCGAATTTAGTTTTGCAACTAATGGAAAGTCATCTGGATAGAGGATATCACGTATTTGTTGATAGGTATGTTGATTATTCGGTATTGATAAGACAAATTAGATAATTTACGTCTCGGCGCCATACTGCGTTCTATTTTAGATAACGAATCATTGTCGGATATATCAATCAATTGCATAAACTGTTTTATCACAACCAATTTTTAATAATATTCATTTTTAATTTAGACTCTACAACTCTGTCGCATTAGCCGAGGAATTGCAGCGAAGGAAAACATCGATAACGGGAACAGTCATGGCAAACCGGAAGGGACTTCCAGCAGAAATAAAAACAAAACTAAAGAAAGGGGAAATCATCTCACTACGAAAAGGACAATTACTCGCACTACTATGGCAAGATAAGAGGCCGATTCCAATACTTTCTACGTATTGTAATGGTGACGAGGTCATAGAGAAACAGTTGCGAGGTTCATCAGAAACCATAAAAAAACCTACGTGTATTGAACTTTATAACAAATTCATGGGAGGCGTAGATTTGGCAGATCAGTATACCAGCTATTACAACTTCTCTAGGAAATCGGTGAAATGGTGGAAAAAAATATTTTTCTGGCTGATTGAAACAAGCGTCTCGAACAGTTATATTATTTACAAATTAACTCGCCCTGAAGGTAGAACTGTTACACTTCTCAAGTACAGACAAATGGTGATCGATGATCTTTTAGCTGGTGTTCGTACCAGTCAAAAAAAGAGCCCAAAACTCCAAGTCCTCCTCCAAAAAAAATTAAACTGGCGAACGAAAGACTCAACGGCCTATTACATATTCAGTCAAAAGAAGCGAAACAGCGCCGATGTAAAGTATGCAGCACAAAAACACAAAGAAGAGAAACAACATATATTTGCATCACATGCTTCGACGCGCCCGCTTTACATCCAGGAAACTGTTTCGCTCGCTACCATACTCTTCTGGATTATCGATGTAATTGACACTGCAATGGGCAATAGGGCGTTCCAGAATTTTCTGGAGCGCGAAGGACCCCATAAAACAAGTCCTAACGAGTGGGTAAACCGACACCTCTTGGGTCCACATGGAAGCTCGGTAATAAATTTACTATGTTCGTATGTTTCAAGTACATATGTGTTACAGTTGTATGAATATGCAATGTGACTACTTTGTTTATTTTGCAATATGTTATCCTTGTGAGTGACAATAATTGGCCATTATTAATGTTATTGGAATATATAGCGAATGAAGGATATATTTTTATGCTAGTAAACGATTTTGTTTTCTTTGTTCAAATTTGATATTTTCGTATAATAAAATGATTCTGATTGCTGAATAAAATGTTCGAATTGAATCTTCATCGCAATGAGAGATCAAGACAAGTTATCATCAACTTATGTTATAATAGCATGAGAGAGCAATTCCGACAAGATACGCGTGTGTAGGTGAGTTCTTTCACCTACGACTGAAGTGTCGGAATGAACGATAACTGATGACACCGCTGGGTTCGCCCCTTTCCCGATGAATCAAAAACTAAATACGAGAGAGAATGAATAGGAGAGAACTCTCTCGTTTTTCACCTTGGCACGGAACGGTAAAATTGAAAAAACTGATCTTGGCATCGAAAGTGAAGCAATAAGTTGAATGAAAGTACGTTCATGTTGGGGATACAATCAAATTGAGCAGAACATAACCGCAAGCGAAATTGTTGGAAAATATAACCACCACGTGGCTGATGCTCAGTTTGAAATGAATTAACAGAGCAAATAATGTTAACTTGGTTCCACTAAAAATGATAATTATTTTAATAAAATAATCGATTTCACAAAAAAATGCGTCTCTGTGTTAAAGTGTTCAATTATCTCATATTTTTGTGCGTTCATTGCCACGACAATCACTAGCAAATAACTATATCAGTTTATATTACATATTGGAATAATACAATCATAGTACAATAGTACAATAATCGTAAGAAATAATAAAAATAAAATGAACAAGAGAGCTATGCTCAAATAAATGGAAAGGAAGACGAGAATGAAATATTTTAACCACAATTTTCTAAAAAATTATATCCTGAACGAAGCTGCCAACTGTGGAGCATCGTAACTTCTGAACTTACTAGTACCGGTGGCCAGCCAGACTGCTTCGACTTTACCTGGTCTCGTAACGATGATTATTCATGCGTATTGTGCCAACATAAATACCAAATGATTCAAATACTAAATCAGGGTGGTCCAAGGTTGTGAGGTTGGTGGGCGGCAAAAACTTTTGAGGATGTATCGCGGGCCGCAGACGGAGAGAATCCAAAAGCGATCAAAACATCGCGAGTTTACTCACTTTACATATATTTCGAAATGAGAGTTTACGGTTATAATCAGTTATTTAAGGAAAATATAGAAAGCTTTCAGTTATTTTAAAATTGCTTAGCGAGAAATACCGCGGCATTTTCGGTATCTTTTCTCGTGTTTGGTTTTGTAATGTCGCTTCGAATTATATTGTTTCGTGGTTGATATTACTTGAAAACACACCAGACACTGTGGTTTGACGTTGTTATGGATTAGGAAATATATTTTCTCACAGTTTACCTCGGTCACCTTTATTTACACTCATGGTATGATGAATTGGTATATTTGACTAATTTTAGTACTGGTAGCGTGAGCAGACCTGGAGTTATCGTCAAAGAACAAGCAAGTCCGTCTAAGTTGGGATTCCAGACCAAGCTAAAAAAAAACTGAATCGCGCGGCGCTAAGTCAGCTCTGTGGTTTGTCACTGCTGTCACATGGCCAACGCTTGAAAATAGAAGAGTGTTTTTACTAAAATAAAGGCGTCTCTCCAAATGAGGAGTTAGTTACTTGACGCAAGCTTAAGGTACGAAAAAAAGGCTTGACCCATCTCATCGGGTCGGTCTTGTCTGCATAAGACAATCCATTCCTCTTTGTCCTGATCACAGGACGTCATTCCCATATTGGCCCCGTCTTGACGTTTATAGATACAACATTGAAATTCCGTGATTTTAACAAACATTAATACCGACATCGGGATTAGGAAAAGCGTTATTTCCAGTTGAAATAGTTCTGCCAATAAATACAAATATCTGCCAATGATTTAGTGAACGATAAAATTGTTCTGCGGGCCGCACAGAATGTGTTGGCGGGCCGCACTTTGCACCCCCCTGTACTAAATGATTCGACTCCACTATATCAAATCTTTGACAGTAGGCGTACTTTACCTTGTACAGGTACTGACCGTACCCAGTCTACAGTCCGTCACGGGTATTGAAAAGCTTCCGAATTTCGCGTAGCACGCTTTGTGAATTGAAAACCGTGTTCCCGCGAGTGGAAATGAAACTGCGAAATTTTGGATGAAATATCAAATATCACAGGATTCACAAGACAATAATAACATAATAAAAAACGATCCATATGTACAGGTTGTAACCAATAAAAAATTGAAGAGGATATAATATTACTCACTCACGAGTAAAAAATCTTATAGCTAAAGGTCCTTAGGGCCTGAGATGATATTTTGGTCAACTCCTACCAATTGTTGAAACACGGTTTTCATTTATTCACAAAAGCTAGCTGTGATAAAATCGTAAACTAGATAGCGATCTGAGACCGCCGACTTAGCGATCTGCGGTTACGATTCTTTTGCTCTGACTCAATAGCGACACCGCGTGTCTCATCACTAATTAATTGATAGCTCGCTAATTATATGACATAATTCATCCAAAATCAATAGGCTTCTGGTCCGAGATATGATGAATGCACATGCAAAATTCAACTTTGTTTTCGTGAGATATCGCGTAACATACGAAAGTGCAAACAAATTGACAAATACCTCAACCTCGATCAACATACTTACCGATCGAGATCGATAAGTACTAAACTATTAGAAATCGACGGAATTGATTGATTTCAAAATTAACAGAGAAATAACCCAGTTAGGACAAGTTCTACTAAACTCTGGACAGTACTCTGTACCAACATACAAGAAACAATATTTACAATGCAATTAATAAATATGTTGAGGCAAGGTATGATGCATATTATCATATTAGTTTTGCGTTGCCTTGTCACGGAATTCAACGAACGCATGTTATAACATGCATATTATTTACCAGCACGCGGTTGTGCCGGATCCTGTCAAATGTACTGGCATGCCAATACATTTAATTAGAGAAAGACTTGAGTATTCTATGTGAAAATACAGAAGACAATTCTATGTATTCTATGTACGCAGCACCCCTACACCACCTCAATCATCAGCTCATTTCTCACCTGCAATGATGACGGATAAGTTGCAGAATTTGCGGTGAATACCTCGAGGTACAGCCCGTGCCTCCCTTTTCTGTCGGAGCTACAGATCCTTCCAATAATTTGCACGGAAATTGTGGTGCGCAAATGATGTCTATTTGATAATACTTCTGTTCTCAGAAACGGCCTTAGAAACTGGACAATGATACAGGGGCCCAACAAATGCTCTATCGGGAATTTCTAGTATGTACTCAAGTTTAAATAGTGGTGAATCCCCGATCGAGTGCATAAAACCATTTTGTATCAAATAAAGCTTGGTTTATATAGAGTCAATCTTGAATTGTCATCTCACGATAGATAGTCCACAACAGGGAAGCGAGAAAAGATTTCATATTACTTGTGCAGATCTTATATCCCCCATCCTAAAACTAAACAATAATTCAGGTCCCCTGGGCCCGACTGGGAGAATCTGCTTTGAACTGTGGTATATTTTTTCATTTCCAAAAAAAATTCATTTGACAGCGAATCTAAAAAAAAATCATCTCTATAATATTGAACATTTTTATAATGGATGAATTATTTACTCAGAGCAGCAATAACCCTCAAAGAATATAAAATGTATGTTGACTTTCATAGTTTGCTGAGTGGTTAACACGTCTCGGTTCCAGTAAATCAAACCAACATACAAGAAACAATATTTACAATCCAATTAATAAATATGTTGAGGCAAGGTATGATGCATATTATCATATTAGTTTTGCGTTGCCTTGTCACGGAATTCAACGAACGCATGTTATAACAAGCACATTATTTACCAGCACGCGATTGTGCCGGATCCTGTCATATGTACTGGCATGCCAATAAATTTAATTAGAGAAAGACTTGAGTATTCTATGTGAAAATATAGAAGACTATTATATGTGTTTCAGGGATTGTCAAACTTAAGGACGCAAGATGTATTAAATTAGATGTGCCAGATGCAAATTAATTTATATAAATATATATATAATAAAAAATTTGGATTGACGCAAATGAATTTTTGGTTGATATAAACTGAGGTATAGCAATGTTCGTTTCTATTATTTATTTATGTTAAGTTGTACTAAAACAATAAAATATCGCTGTCTCATTATCGCCCGGCGACACAGATCTCTCCTTACTCAAAAATAAAAATACTTCCAAACTGCAATAATTTTGTTTCATCAATATTTATTTCTTGATATTGATTCAAATCAAAGGCCGAATAGACATGAAACACACAATAGTCGCATTGATAATATTCAGCGTACTTTTACGTTGTCACGGAGACGAAGAAATACCTGAAAGATTGGCAGAATACATAATACAAGTTGCAGAAAAGGAAGGTATTTACAAACGACCCGATGACCTCAACAAAGATACTGTCTCTAATGTGAAAAAAGTGACACATTTTGAACCAAAAGTTGATGGTGAGTAGAGTACATGAGCATACAAAAGAAGCTTCTATTATGTAGGGCTTTATTGCTTAGCGATTTGTAACGCCACTAGGTGTGAAGCCTGGACGAATGGAGTGATTTGCTGTGAAAAATATCTATCTGCATTCAATTCTTCTAATTTCAGAGATAGTTTTTGTCTTTTAAAGGAAGTCTCTTTCCGCATGCCGTGGATGTTTCTGCTACATGTGGCGTTTAAGCTTTGATTGCTTCATTCCTTCGTTGCTGAATACAGTATAATTTAAATAACATTGTGGTAGGTCGCTAACTATGCCTTTTAGGATATCGACTGTCTGTTTTCTCCCATTCGCTGTCAATTTATGAATTGTTACATCACAATACTATTTTATTTAAAAGTATGATTATTGTATAGCATCTTTACCTCCTATATCATCATCTTTTGCAATGTAATTGTAACGGATTGGCCCCCGGTTGAGAAACACTGAAATAGTCGTTTATTGTAACATGTCATAATCCTACTTTATATAATATCAATCCTATAGGTTGCCCCGTTTAATTTTATTCAATTGAGTTTCCCATATTTCAGTTCCAGTTATAGGAGGAGACAACCCAATAGTGAACACGACTTCTGGTTTAGTAGAAGGAACCTCCACCTCGGAAGCGCATGCATTTTATGAAATCCCGTATGCAGAACCACCAGTGGGAAATTTGCGGTAAAACGCTTATGACTATATTTTAACTTGGACTCACAGAAATCGTTATTGCCTCGATAGTCTATATTGGATTGGATTTGAAATCTTCGAGATGGCTGCACACAAAGTTTAGTTAGATCATTTTTGTGAAAGCTGTATATAATTATAGACAGATTGAATTCCGATAGTATTCTTATTGAATTTTGTCACTTCCAGTTGCTACGTTTTTCCTCATTCTTTTTTGGGGTAAAAAGCCTTTTATATATATATATATATATATATATTAACGAGGAGAAGTCGACTTATTTCATATCGTCTAGATTCCAACCTCCACTTCCGCTACAAAATCGTAGAGATATTGATGGCAGTAGACGAAGAGGTCTGATGTGTCAACAGACTAGAGATATAGCATGTCTTATATCGCCACTTTGTGAAGAAGTTGTAAGTAGGATGGCTAGGCAGTTATATTATAGTGAAAGAAGAGTAGAGAAAATTGATAAAAAAAAATAAAATCGATTGGCCAAAATCGTATATAATTAAAACGATCAAAAACTTAGCGACAATTTATGTGAGAATCCCATTACCTAAAGTTTTATTAGTTGAATAAATTTTTCGCGTCAAGAACAAAATTTTTTTTTCCAAATTTTTTGAAGATATTTTTATCTTACTTGATTGATCGAAATTAGAAGCTCATTTGGCGATAACGAAATAATCTTGGACTGCTAGAGACGTTTGATCGTTTTTATCAAGTTTTTCTTAATATTGTTGAATCGAGATATGAAAAACATTTCGATAAAACATGATTTCTATATTTTCAATATATTTACCCCCATGATATTTTATGAACGATTGAATATTTTGTTATTTCCTATTACATCTATTAGATGGATGAAGATTGTCTTGTTTTAAACGTTTTTGTTCCGGGCAACGTTAACTTGACAGATGCCAACCAACCGCCGGGCAACCGCTTGCCAGTTTTATTCTATATCCATGGTGGGTCTTTCAGCCATGGTGCCGGTACAACGACGAGCAAGGATGGAAAAGAATTGGCAAGCGTCACAAATACACTTGTTGTAGTGATTAATTACCGACTGGGTGAGTCGGTGTTTTATGTAAACATTTTTTACATCGCAAATATTAGTTTTGCAAGACAATGACGAGGTAGACACTTATGATTCAAAATTTCAAGCATCATTCACTAATATGAAACTGTAAGCACATTTATTCAGCTTTACGTCAAACACAGTTTTCCAGACACGACTAACAAAAAATATTTCAAACCAACGGTAATTTTTCAAAATTGAAATTCCGCGGGTCAAATCGGGCCCGTTGGTACTACAACCTGGCCCACCTGATGCTGCCACAACCAAACTAAAATTAAATTTTGATATTTTAGCTAAAATATAGCTCAAGGGATTTGTTGAGATTGCAATTAAATTTAGTTTTGGCACGAAACTTATTGTTTTCCACTTTCGCATTTGTAACACTGCAAATATGGTACATAAAATGTAACTTTTTACGTCACACTTACATGGACCGCCAGTCTAGGTGAGCAAAATTTTTGGAAACTGGCCCAAAAACCTTGCCTGTTCCTAGTCTAGCCTAATCATATTTGTTAATTCTCTTTTTGATTCTCTGGGAAATGTAATGCTAACTGAGATGATCGCTGAATCATCAGCCGAAATCCTAGATCGCCTACCTTTCAACATAGTTGGCAAGTTTTGAATAGCAATTCAACCATTTAGTATACCTATAAATGATTTATTTGACAATTATTATATTTAAACATTTCGCGCTTTGCAGAAAATAAGAAATTAACTTTTTCGAAGTAGTTTAGAGCTTAGACTTTAGAGGTTGACATATAAGATACGGTATGCCTTCGAAATGGTATAGTGACATGTGGTAAAATTTATTTTTCCCCTGTACATTTTGATAAAGGATTTTATATGAAAATATTTCACAAATATAGGACCGTTTGGATTCCTTGTTCACAAGGAAGCAGGAAAGCCAGATATTGAAGGAAATCAGGGACTGGCTGATCAGAGACTAGCATTGGAGTGGGTCCGAGACAACATAGCTAATTTCGGAGGAGACAAAAATAAGGTCCAATTTTTGCATAATACATAATATATTATACAATCAAACATCTTCGATCACATTTGCGAAGTTAACAAAAAGTTTCGATCTTGCCGATTAAATAAGCAACATCTTTCCAATTTAAGGGTAGTTCTAATCAATTTATAATTTGAACCTCGTAAATTAATACTAAATTAACTTTTCTTTTCACAACCAATGTTGATCATAAACAGAAATTAAGAAAAAAAATATTGATTGAGAATATTTTGAAGCATATTAACTTAAAAAAAAAATAAAAAGAAGATTTTCTGTGGTAAATTTGTAACTAAAAATAGAGCGCAAAAGCATTCGTCAATTTCGATGTAACGGCGCACATTGGTTTGTTTACGACTTGTCATGCCTATTATGGTAGAAAACTATTACACTCGCTGCTTTTCGAATTTCTATACAGTAATAATTAGGGCCAGCGATAATACAAAATGCCTTCAAAAAACTCGGCTTTTATAGGATTTTGAGCAACTGTTGTCGCACACCACGCAAAGCAAAACTGTATAGCTTCTAAAACACTTCATCATTGTGGCAGGTTACGATATTTGGAGGTAGCGCCGGAGCACAATCCGTTATGTTTCACACATTGTCAGCGAAGAGCAAAGACTTATATGAAAAGTCAATCCAGGAAAGCAACCCGGCTGTATTTTCTTATCAAACTCCAGATGAATCGTTAGAAATTACTTCTGATCTTACCAGAAGATTGTGTTCGAGAACAGAATCTGAAAGAGAATGTATAATGTAAGTGCGGCTCAATATATATTTTTCATTATCTTCGAACGCACATTGAAAACAATGCCTCATTTTAATAGCACAAAATCTCACGTTAAGTAACAAGTTAGCAGACTGTATATATTTCCCATTTGTAACATGTTGAGGATTCTATATCAAGTGGTCAACTTCCGAAACTTCCGAAAAAAACACGAAAAGCACAAAACAAAAGTGTAAAATAATTATTTTCTAGGAATGCAAATGCAACCGAAATCACTCGTCGTCAGCTTGCTGTTCAAGTTCGTGGTTTTGTAACTGGTGACGTCATGGCCTTTATAGAACCATATCGCCCCGTTATTGATGGAGTAGAGTTTACGGATCAACCATTAGCTTTGTACAGAGATGGAAAATGGAATTCAGATAAAAGCATGATTGTTGGAGTAAACACTGAAGAATTAGATGGAATTGCATACCTGCTGCCGGAAACATTCCCTACTGGGAAAACAATGTTCACGGTATTATTTTTTCATTCGTGGACCTTCATGGGGTATATGGGGATACATGTTACTGATGTGGCATTAGCCAAAGAAGCAACCCTTATACAATTTTTAATGAAAAAACTGAAAAACAGTCTCAAAATGGTATTCAAAGTTTCTTTGCAAAACCGCTAATTTATATTCTTATTGTAATCGCCATAGAATTATATAGATATATATATAATATGCCTTTACAAATTCCAAAGTGCTGTGCTTCAAAGTTTTGACAGCGTGATTACGTCAGTAAAACTTCTACAGAATAGTTCAAAGTTTATATTGGTGATCTGTTTCTGGAGATCTAATTGAACAATTAATCAAATTAGGACCATCTCAATAGATAACGATAATATAAATTGCGAATCGTGTGTAATCTATTATAAATACAATATATATCTCTATCTTCAGATAGCCAATTATTACCTTGTTGGTCCCGGAAAAACAGATGCTGTGGTTAAGAAGTACGAAGAAGCATACCATCAAGAGGATGGTGATTTCGGTGTGACATTTGCCAAAGAACTGAGTCACATGTATTTTGTTTGCCCAAGCAGGGCGTTAGCAAGGTACGTATTTGAACAGAAGTCAATTTATCAATTTATGAAACAGTGCGTGACGTTTGGTCATTTAGAATTAATACACGTATGTTAGATGAATTTTGATTTCAGATTTGCTGCTTTAACCACAACTGGCGATGCTGAAGTTTATTTCTACGCAAATGAACATGGAGTTCTAGACAGTCTGTGTCAACTGAATAATAATGGAAGCGACGAAGGATGCTACTTTGCATCTCATGGCGCGGAAACTCGTTACGTGTTTCGTACAGTGTAAGCTTTATTTTCCCTCGTTTTACTAATTCATACTTTCAGTTGTCTTTAAATTATTTTTTTCCCTGTTCTCCGACCCTCATCATTTTCTACTTTTTTTATTGGACACGAAATGGACATACGTTATTATGTGGTTTTTGGTATTTTTCTTATCCTTCTTGTTGTTCTTATTGTTGTTGTGAAAATTGCCTTTATTTTCCCAACCAATTGGTTTGAAATTCTCAGTGGTTAAAGATTGTTGTTGTCGCTATAAGGCTATTACTTTTATTTATTTGAAAAGTTTTTGTGGGCTCTATGAAAATTTTCATTGTTTTTTGAAGTTTTGTGTAGTGACGTCATCGAAATTAAAAATTGCGCACCGTGTGGCGGTTCCGAAATTTGCATTGCAGTGATCTGGTGGTCAGTCGAAGTCGGAAGTATCGGTACTGTAAATAATTTGATACTAGATTTGTGAATCGGATCATTTGGTATTGGATTCATGTTGCACGCATAAATCGCCATAGAACCCGGGGAAGCTAGTACAGTCCCTGTACCCTCATACTGGTACTGGAAAGTTACGGTAGCTATTCCACAGTGTCATTCTGGATATTATTTTGAGAGGAATTGTGGGTAGGAAAAAATAATTTAACCTCCGTCTCCATATTTGAGTAGCTCTCTTGTTTACCTACATATTTTTGCCAGACATCGTTCTCATCTCACCATTTATGCATTCCTTCTTTCTTCCTTTTACCCTCTAATTATTTTCTTATTTTCCGCGTACTTTGCTAGCTCGTTATTTTCTCACTTTCTTTTTTAGTTTTTCTCTTTAATATTTTTATTTTTCTCGTATTTTATTTGTGTATTCTCTTCTATTTAATTTGGATTTTTGTTTCAGTCAGAATCCCACAGAAGCAGATCAATCAGTGGAAGATCAATTTAGCACGTACTGGGGAAGTTTTGCGCGAACAGAAACCCCGTCCAACGACTTAGAAACATCTATAGGAAACTTTCCTGATTGGCCTATATATTCACCTCTTTATCCCCCTGCGAATTCAGCCAAAACCAACTTCCAGTCCGATACTGGATCGCATTCAAGAATCTCACCTTTCCTGATTGAAGCACCGCTGCATAGTGAGTAGCAATATGACGATATGCTTTTGCTACTCGACCACTCATATTTGTCATTGCATTTATTTATACAAAGATGTATCACACATAATAAAAATTAGAATTTAAAATTTACCGATGCGATGCATTTTTCAAAATTATGGCATGCTAAAATTGTAGGAAAACGTGGATCTGTTGACGTATTTTAACGATATATTTTGTTTAGCAATAATTTTTTTTATCCTCAGTCTCTCCAAACTAATTCAAAATTAATTCATTTTCCAGGGCTAATTTATGCAAGTAACTCCAAATACCATACCTTTTTCTATTCAAAAAATTTCGTTATTAAGTAATTTTTTACAGGTCAGAAAATGCTTGAATTTTGGGAGAATTTACGCATCAAAGCACCTGTCGGTCTAACGGAAATTGGATACGAAGAAGATATATGCGAGTTCTGGGACAGTGTTGGATACTACATGGATCCTATTCCCTTTGCAACAACAACTGAAGATCCCCATACAGTTGGAAACAGTCAACCCGCAACTCCAGTCATTCAAACGACAAGCAATGCTAATTCAATTACTATAACGTTATCTTCTTTAACATTTATTCAAAGCTCGCTTTCAGCTATATTTAGATAATAAGTAATGATAATGCTGATATTGAGCTTTATTTCGGATACCTAATATAAAACTATCATTTCTACTTAGTTGACTGTGGTTGAAGATTATGTAACAGAATGTTCTTATAAATATATTTTTTTCGGTGGTCAAGGGATTTTTTACATAACTTTCAGGTTAGCGCCTTGAATACCACTTTCGTTTCTTTGTTCAGTACTTATTTGCGGTAGGCTGGGACTGGTAAACTTGCTCGAAATTAGTTTGGATAATCGAATACATTTTGTATTTGTGGATTGGTATTCATTGCACACTATCGTACTCGTCAACTTACCTTATTACTCGAATAACGTGATTGGGCCCTATTTACTTACGGTAAACGACAGCAAACTGCGTTTAAATGTCTTCCAATTAGCTATACAAACGTCCACAACATCTCAATTATTAATCATTAACAGAACAGCATTGTTTCACGGATTTCACTGGTTGATAGAACAGTAAAGTATAGTTGATAGAAAGTGAATCAGCTTCGTCGAGTATGAATGGACCAGTCATACCGTGCGATTCATACTGAAATAGTGGGTTAAATTGACAAAGTATAAGTATATACATAAAGATCCGGTCAGTTATAGATTCAATACGATCGAATTGCAGCTAGAGGTTTTATACAATTTAGATATAATTTGAGGTAGTTGATGTTTTCAGTGCATAAAAACTAGGGCAATGAATGAGAAGTATGTGTTTGAGTATATTTAAAAGTGAATATGGTTTGGTGGATATTTCAGTATTTAAACTGTATTTTTTTCATTTAATTATTAGATATTGAATAAGTAGGCTATAATAAGAATAAGACGAAAAATGAGATTAGTGGTTTTTGCAGCTGTGATTCTATCTTTGTTGTATATTTCCAACGCGAATTCAGATTATGCCAAAAATTTAGCGGGTTTATTGGCTCATCTTGCCCGGAAAGAAGATCTTTATCACGGACCAATCCATGTTGAAGACTATTCAAAAGTACATTTGCCCACTGGTGTTTACGACGAAAAGGGTAAATAGGCACTTGTTTTAAGCGTGATGACAAGTTGGAGGCTGGCTGGGCGGAATATTGTAAAAATAGCTATCTTCGCGAAGATTGTAGGACTTTTCGCCGTCACAGGGTGATTGACCAAACTGAATGCCCCTTACGACATCGACGCTATTTAAGCTCACGCCTCTCGAACGATAAACCGCGATGCAAATGTAAGGTTTGCCCATGAACATTTGCAAATACTGCAAAATAATACATACCAAACATTTAATCTTTGACAGCTCAGCGCGTGGGAGAATCAAATCCACTAGTTGATACAACTTCTGGCGAAGTTGAAGGTATATCTACAGCATTGGCTCATTCGTTTTACCAGATACCGTATGCTGAACCACCTGTCGGAGAATTGAGGTACCCTAATATTAAAAAATAAATAGATTAGGCGTCAATACACGTGATACAGAAAAAAAAACGATATATATTCCAGATTTCAACCTCCGATCCCCTTGCAAACTCCAAGAAAGATTGATGCCACGAATGGAAACGGCCGGAGGTGCCACCAATTTGAGGGACCGAATTGTATTATAACACCTATCGGATGCGGTCGGAATGTATGTATCGGGCAATTATTATCGACAAGATTATCAGATTATTACAAGATTATCAGTCTAAACAAAACAAACTATATCATTTTCCAAGATTATTTTCAACTTTCATTTGAATTCCAGATGGATGAAGATTGCCTTCTGTTGAATGTCTATGTTCCAATCCACGTTAACTTGTCCGATCCTTCTGAACGTCCACATGACACACTGCCTGTTTTATTTTACATCCACGGTGGTTCGTTCAATAGTGGTTCAGGAACAGGCACGGATGGTCGAGAACTTGCAAATGTTACAAATACTGTTGTAGTAACGATAAATTATCGTCTTGGTGAGTTTGTTGGGCGGCACATAATGACAAGAGTTGGGATCAGGGATCTATTCGCTAAACTTCGTAACCAATTAACATGTTAGTAAGCACCAACTTTTTCGTAAAAAACGAAAATGACATTCACTAAGTATCGTGAAGATTCAAGAATTTTTTTCGCGCCAAATCAGACGTCTCGTAAAGTCGCGTATTCTCACATTTTCTCGGGAATTGGAATTCGGCAACACACAGAATCGCTCGCAAGCTAAAGAAGCCAAATTTTTTCCTCGTTAACAGTTCGGTCCGTTCTCAAAAGGGATTCAACTTAAAAAAAGACTTTGCTTACTTCATATCAAATTCTGTTGTTATAGAGAAAACACAATCCAGCTAACTGCAATGTTAAAAAATAGTCACAAAAGTCAACCATTCATGCTTACTTTGTCCATGACGATGCAGTAACTAACCATGCAGTGAGGAGACCATGAGACCATGCAGTAACTAACTGCCTCACTGCAAGACGGCTACCGGTATGCACACGGACTGGTCCCGATGGCATATTAATAGCACAGTATTAATTACACCGATTACGGAATTACAAAATATTTATGAATCGCATATAAGAGATTTTGCTTTTGCGCTTTTGATAGACTCAGTTACGTTCTCGTAAACCTCTAGCAAATGCGCTGGTCCAGGACCGATGCAATCAAAACAAGAGATCGATAAAAATATGGACACTACAGATTGGTACCGGTACGACTTTAAGACATCAAGTTTGTTGAAAATCGGCGGACGAATTACCAAAATGCTCACTTTACATTAAAATGAAAACAGAAAAATTTGAAGTGAAATATCGGGAACCATCGGACGCAGAAAAGATCTGACAAAAATAAAAGATATAGCCATCTTTAACCATCTTGAAGAACTTGTTTGAGTTTAGCCAGAACATCAATCTTCTAAGACACAAGGTGCCTCACGCATGTTTGTAACACTGACAATTTTACAAAATAATACTGCTCTTCCAATTCATAGGTCCTTTAGGTTTTCTGGTGCACAAAGAAGTCGGGAAACTGGACATTGAAGGAAATCAAGGGCTGAAAGATCAACAGCTAGCGTTGAAGTGGGTTCAGGACAATATTCCAAATTTTGGAGGCAATAAATATGAGGTAAAATCTATTTCTTCTCTTGTACATTGAACATTTGTTCTCTTTCGTAAAATCCTTTGTCAATAATCGTATGACTGCAAACATCTACATTCCATGGATTTTTGTTTATCTGCCTTAACACATTTCGGATAGAGTCCAGGTCATCTCACAAATAAATCCTGTTAACTACCTCTTCTTGTTTGTAAATAGGTTTCAACAGTTGTGTAGAACTCATCTGATACGAAAAACGACTTTTCTCTGAACTAAATAATTATTAGCTAAAAATTAGTTAATAAATAAATAGTTATTAGCTAAATAGTTATTAGCTAAAAATGTTTAAAAGGGGCTAGTCAAACGCCTCCTATATTATGTGGTTGCTGAATTATAATAGATTTTTCTACCAACTAACCATTATGGAGTGAATACTACTACAATCGTATATCTTAATACCATTTTTTAAGCAAGATTTGTATTAGGTATTTTTGCTTCATTTATTACACCTTTACCCATCATTAATTGCAGAAAGATCATACATTTTTTTTATCTAATTTAATAGATTACTTTATAAACACACTGTATATGTAAGAGCTAATGATACACTAGTAATATCGATTAATTATGAGAAGAACGTTTTTCGGTAATTTTTCTCTGGCTCAGGTAACAATATTTGGAGGAAGCGCTGGTGCTCAGTCTGTGATGTTTCATACACTTTCAAAAGTCAGCGAACCGTTGTACGTAAGAGCAATTCAACAAAGCAACCCAGCGTATATTTCATTTCAAACTCCCGAAGAATCCCTTCAAATCACTGAATATGTCACCGACCGATTGTGCAATGTGTCTATTGAGACTGAAAGAGAATGTTTAATGTAAGAATGCTTGTAGTGCGGTATGTTTATGTACGCGTTTATTGAGTCAAGAAATCAAGCCACATGATCGCAAACTAATTACTAAAAAGCCCTTTGAATGGGACGTCCCGCCTGCACGTCGGTAGACGACAACCAAACCTAAACTTAGTATAGCAGTCAATATAATGTACATTATTTAGAAAAATTTCCGTATAACTGGAGCGCTATGTGAACTAACATTCCATGGTAAGATCTGTAATGAGGAATGAAACTGAAAAACATTGTATATAGGCAATGAGGGAGATGTCTTGGGTAGAATGCGCAATTGCAATTCCGAAATATCAAAAAAACAGGCTCATTGTTTCGTTGAAAATCAATCGTTGTTACAGAAAGCATGCTACAAAAGCTGTTAAAATTGATACACGAAATAACTAGTAACCGACCATAGCGAATTTTGTTCCTACCCAATGCAAGATATAACCCTTCTACTATCCATATAAAATCTTCATGGGTTTTCTGCAGGAATGCAGATCCGTTGGATCTTGTGAACAGGGAAGTTCCAGTGGTGATCCGAAGTTTGATTGCCGGTGATATAATGGGAATGAGCGAACCGTATCGACCAGTCATTGATGGAGTTGAATTCACTGATCAACCAATGTCTTTATATCGGGATGGTAAATGGAATTCGTACAAAAGCATGATTATGGGCGTAAATACGCAGGAATTAGACGACATACCGTACTTTGTTCCTGATCCCGTTCCTACTGGAAAAGCACTATTCACGGTACCGTTTTCCTCGTTATTGTCCCCTTACATTAAATAGATTATATGTGAACCAATTTGTTTTTGTAGCAACATAACTATTATTTTTTATTATAGACAACGTAAATTTAGACAAAATATATACTTAAAAATTTCTAGGTAAATATCATAAAATACATAAGTTTTCATATCTTGTGATATTGTATTTGACCCGATCTTCGGAGGGAGTGAAAAGTTTTTTCTCCTCATCTCCAGACTCCTTACATTGTTTTTCAAGTACCGTCTAGCTGATTTATTTACCTAGTAAAATCAATGACGGTTTTATTATGTATGCTTACTCAAATTAAAAATTGATAGTCGGTCGAACAAGTCTGGATACAGGGGATGCAAGGCACCCCTGACGCTGGTTTAGGACATATATATATGAATATATCAATATTTGTAGATATTCTTTTGAAAGAGGTGTTTAAAAATGCTTGTTGTATTGCACGAGACTTGTGAGTACAGTAAATCCTTAATGGCAAACATATTACTAGAAGAATGATTTCAAAATCGCATATTTTCAGCCACCACAAAATGAATAACAACTAAGTTTTATTTTCAAAACTATAGCTGCGTTGTTTTGACAGATTGTTAACTATTACATTCTTGGACCCGGAGATACTGACGCTGTTGTCAAGAAATACGAAGAAGCCTTTCCACCCGAAGGAGATGATTATGCACCTACATTTGGCAAGGAAATGAGCCATTTATATTTTATCTGTCCAAGCCGTGCAATGGCAAGGTACCCGAAATATATAGATTTTAGATTCACTTCATATGTAACAATAATTGATATTTGATATATCATTTATTGCATTTTTGCAGATTTGCAGCGTTCACAGCGAAAGGTGATTCAAAAGTTTATTTTTATGCCAATGAACATCCAATACTAGATGGAAATTGCAAAGCAAAAAATAACGGAAGCGAGGAGGGATGCTACTTAGCTTCGCATGGAGATGAAATGCGTTTTGTTTTCAGATCAACGTAAGTCAGTTGTCAAATATCATATTAATTAAAAAGAAATATTTTGTTATTAGTTCATTAAATGGTTTATTTTTACTACTTATTAACCAGTAACCTAGACTGAAACAAGCAAAATAATTTCAGAGGAAACCCTACAGACGATGATCAATCTGTTGAAAACCAATTTAGTACTTACTGGGGTAGCTTTGCTCGTACTGGAGAGCCTTCTAATGGGTTAGAAAACTCTCTTGGAGATTTTCCTGACTGGCCACAGTATTCGTCACCATCAATGGCAAAGTGGAAGTATACTCGAAACAATTTTCAGGCGATGATTCATGCTTTTGATAAAGGTGAACTTAGGATGATTAATTTGCCAATAATTAAATTATGAATTGAAATACATATTTAAAACTGCACGTGTTTGCAATCGTAGAGGTAGAAATCCGTTCATGTTGTAGTTTACAGGTAGCAAGAGTTATAGCTTGCATATCCTAGAAGCGTTTAAATCTTCTAAACTAAACCATTTCATGATTTTTTTACTCGAAGTAACAACAAACCATGACTGGGAAAGTCTGCGAATCAAAGCTCCGGAGGGTAAAATTGAGACAGGATACGAACAGGATATATGTGACTTCTGGGACAGTATAGGATTCTATATGGATCCAATACCGTTACCGACAACAACAGCTACCGTAGTTACTGAAGATGACGCAGGCCGAACGGATCCACCGATTTTCACAACGAGTAATGCAAGATCAGACTCTCAACATTCATTTATTTTTATTTTTTCCTGCCTGCTTCCAATTTTATGGTTGAACTTGTATGTCCAGGAAGAGTAACCTATTATATTGATAACTGATAATAATACGTCATTTGTCTTAAATATAATATTTAATTACCTCATGAATTAATTATCTTTTCCTGTACTTAATTTCAGCTATCTGAGAATCACTCTACAATACATGAACTAACCTCTATCGACTTTAATAAAATACACGCAGCTGAGAATTCGGATTAGTGATGCCCATTTATAAAATATTTTAATCTTGGCTTCAACCAGTTTCCCATTCAGTGACGTTGAAAACGTATTAAGCGGGTGCAACAAAAAGTGTCACATTAAATGTCATTTGTAATTTTTCTTCTCAAGTAAAACGATTAAGTTGAGTTCACGAGTTGTCGCAGTCTTCGCACGCTGCTTAAATCCTAAAATGTCAACATCTGATCTGATCAAAAAATTGCGATTAATCGGCCATACCTTCGGTTTTTAACTTTCTAAAAATATGTGACACCCAACAAGACTCGCAACCTTTAGTTTTGGTCCGCGAGCGACAAAAGGTTGCCGACATCATAAAGTTTTCTTATATGGTGCACAAATATCACCAGTATGTTATTAAGATATACTAATTGTGGAATTTGGCAATAATATGATTGTTCTGAGACATTCTTTTTAATATAATTCCATTTCTCATCCAACATTTGTCATTTCTGAACCTAACAATTTGACCTGTATTTCCCATTTTGATTTCTTGTGCATCGCTCAGAGTTTCATCTCAAGTTATCAATTTTTAGAAGTACAATTTCAATGAGAAGTTTGAAAGTATCGGTTGTGCTTTAATAGGGATTTGGGAAATGAATTTTCGGCACAACAGCTTTTTCTA